ATGACCTGTGTCAGCAACTCGTTTTCTTTTTTCCCTGATTTCTCCTCTGTTTTCAACTTTGAGGTTAGAAACACTGACAGCTAATAAATATTCAAAAACGGTTTTAGCAAAAGGAAGAATTGCACCCAGTTTGTTCAGAGTCTGGTATCTTGGTGGATCAAACCAGGATGGTACAATGTGGTAGAAATGTTTCCTTCAGTTTTCTGGCCTCCAATCCCTTTCTGATTTTTTTTTTTAGTATTGAGTATCTGCAGACGAGTCCCAATCTGATACTTTCATTTGCCTAGACAACAGAGCCTTACACCATTTTTTAAAACAAAAATTGTGTAAGCAAACAAATTAACCAGAAGATAGACACTACTTACCCCAGCCAGCTTTGCTGTAAAAGTCAAGTAAAAAATCAATCTTTGAGAGCATGTATCCTTTATCTCGGAGTCTAGATTTTGATGCTTTGGTGCACATTTAGTGAATGTGCCATATTGCATGTTTAGACTTAGGTAACCTTTCAAAGTGGTCGTGTTTAATGCAGCTCTACTGTTCACGCCTGGAGGAACGACCATATTGCAGGCAGCTGTTGGACAGTTTTCACTTAGTAGTTCAAAAATATTTCCACACTGCTGACATTTTTGCCACAGAGTTGCTAATGTTAATGATCAGCTCCAAGGGGGTCGCATGAGGGTGAGCTGATTGGTTCAAATTTCTGGTCCCTGATCAGTGAAAAATACCTGGATTCTAACAGATTGTCATCAGGATTCAGCTTCTAAGTGGAAGCTGAGGAAGATGCAAAGGTTTTGTCCATGTTTGTTTCAGCATTGTCAGGTTTTTTTTCTGTGATCCAGGGACTGAGAGAGCAGCCACCTTCCAACTGGAGTGAATGGCGGAAACAGCAATGTGACAGAGATGTGGGTTACTTGGAACAAAGTGGAAGAATTCGTAAACAGGGCAAGAACGGCATCAGCCCCAGGGTCTGCATTTCATCCATGCTCTGTAAAAACGACCCAGTAGTCGTGAAGTACCTCTAAAAGCTAAAGAAAGTGGTTTGAGTGACAGCACTTTGAGGCAGGTACAACGATGGGCTGAGCCATTTGGTCTGCCTGTTACCATAGTAATGAAAATCATGTTCTGTACAGCACTTTTCTGCAGATGGCTCCTATGAGGGTGCGTACATATATATATATATACATATATATATATATACACTACAGGCCAAAAGTTTGGAAGCAAGATCAGATTTGTACAAAAAAAGATCATAGTTTCATATATATAATTTGCAACACAATAAACATGACTATTGTGTAAAGAGTAACTTATCAGAAGACATTTTGACTGTAATTATTAGGTGTTTGAGATATTGTTGCTTAGACTTTGCTTTCTTTAAAGTAGCCTCCTCTGGTTTTAACAAAAGCTTGGCATATACCAGGCATTTGTTCCACAAGTTTTTTGAGGTATGTTCCAGGGATTGCATTCCAAGCTTTCTTAAGTTCATTAAAAAGAGACTGCTGATTCTTGGGACGCGGTTTTCTGACCGATCGATCCAATTCATCCTACACAAGCTCAATTGTAGAAAGGTCTGGAGACTGAGGGGGCCAAATCATCTTTTGAAGCACACCTTCCTCTTCTTTTTTGTCTAGGTAACCCTGACAGAGCTTGGCATAGTGCTTAGGGTCATTGTCTTGCTGCAAAACAAACTTATGAGCCACAAGTCTGAGTCCAGATGGAACAGCATGGTGCTGGAGGATGGAGTGGTACTGTTCCTTCTTCATGATACCCTTTACTTCAAAAGAAACCTCCAACTCCATCACCTGCAAAACATCCCCATACCATGGAGCTACCACCTCCATGCTGAATTGTGGGTGTAACAGATGGTGCTTTCAGACGTTCACCAGTTTGTCTGCGGACATAGACTCTGCGTTTTGAACCAAACAGTGCAAACTTGTTTCTAGTCATTTTAAGTCCAATTTTTGTGAGCTTTTGCCCACTCATATCTCTTTTTCTTGTTCTGTGGACGAAGTAGTGGTTTTTGCAGATACACAACCCTTCAGACCAGCCTTTCCCAAACGTCATTTCACGCTTGTCAGAGATATGGGTTTCGATATTTTCATGTTAATTTCCTCCCTTATTTGTGGTGCTGTCTTTCGCCGATCTCTCTTACTGGTGACAATGCTATTTTTATCCTCTTCTTTTGTAGTAACTTTCTTTTGTCCAGGTCTTTTTCTGTCATCATAACTTCCAGGTTCCTCTAGTCTCTCCAGAGTGTAGTGGACTCCTTTGTTAAACACCTTTAGGTATTTTGCAATTTCTCCTTCTGTGTATCCTTCTTTCCTCAATGTACAAATCTGTACTTTTGTTTCTTTACTCAGTTGCTTCTTCCCAGCCATTTTGTGGTAGTTTGAACACAGTTGAGATTTATTAGGATTTTTGTTTGCAGGCTCTCAAAAGCCAAAAAGTTGAAGTGAATAATCCAACTGTGATTTGTTTTTTTGCTTTTGCACTGAAGTTGTGACTCTTGCAAATGTTTTCAACCCTAAAACTAAGCCCTTATCTTTTGCTGACATATATTTAGCAATGGTCTGTTAACATCAATGTATATCTAAAGGTAAATGGAGTAAAATGGTGCATTTCCATTATAGCAACATCTGATCATGGAGTAAATACATCCCAAAATACATAAAACTCATGCTGGATTTGTTTAAAAAGTAACCTTTGTTCTTTTATGCTGTGCTTTTACCCTCAGAGTTAGCAGTTCAAAGTTCTGTTGGGGTCCACATGGATCAAGTATTGACCATTGGATTGTTCTGTGTTACTGATCAACCCATAACCAGGAAGTATTTCTTATCTACATGAACTGGAACACAGTCGAGAGTCCACATATGGTGTTTTATTTTGAAATTTACCGGATGACATGCATGGTTTTTGTGCTTGACATCCTGTCAAAAACCATCTTCCCTATGAAGAGTGACACGTGTTTGAAGCATAGAGCAGCAAAAATAGACTCAGCCATATCTTTAGCAGAGCCGCGCTCGACATGCTTCTGAGACGGAGCTGTGACGCGTCCTGTGTGCGATGCTGCATTGATTACAAAGGCAACCTATTTGCTGTGTGACACATGCTGCTGATGGAACGTGCTCAATACAGATCCTGTGTGTTTTAGGCTTAAGGATTGAAGAGAAGAAGAAGAGGGAAGGTGGAGAGGTTGGGCAGAGTGGCTCTGGTGTTTGGTGGTGAAAGCCACTGAAGGCAAAGAGAGGAGACAAAAGGTGAATTACTAAAAAATACACCAGAGACTCAAAAGCTCCCAAATAGATTTTAAAACAGCAAATAACACAAACACTGGCCAACAGAACGGATGAGCAGGGCTAGGGTAGAAGCACTGCAGCAGGTGACTGTGGGATGAGATGCAGGTGTGGAAGCACGAGCTTCAGCACCAGGAAGCCACACACAGAAACCCGACCAAAGAAACACTAAAAGATGTATGAAAAATGACTGGACTACCACACTGTCTGAAGAAGTTTGCTGTCTGATACAGAGGAGGGCCCTCCATTGTTACCTGACCACTAAACGGCACTCTTAACCTCTGTGAAGTGATTTTTGATGATTTTCTACAAAAGTTGAGGTCTTGTGCTGCAATCAGAGCTGTCCTGAGTGGACACTCACCAACTCTTCTCAGAAGTTTCTGTACTACATATAGCAAAATAAAAGACAAATATAAGGCTGTATGTTGACTTTGTACAAGTCAACATACAGTCACTGGACACAGAAGGGAGCGCATGGTAAAAAGTGTTTTTTAAAGTTTTCTTAAATCCATTTCACACTTGAATGTAGTGGGCCATCTTCTCTGGAGTTGAGGGGCACAGACAAAATGCCCGTTATTCAAACTCGTAAATCTGACGCAGCAAATGTTCTTACCTTTTTCATTTTAGTTGTGTAAATGGTGATCCTGCGTCATACACAGTCTTTGCAAGTTGTTTTGCTATCTGAATCGGGAGCAAGAAACTGTCAGATACTACTTAGTGATCCTTCCAAGGGTTTGAAAGGATTTTAGGCCTTTTTTTTCAATCTGAAAATTGCTGCAACCTTGTCTGTTCTCATTTCCTTTGACTCCTTTAAAAGGTGAACTTCTTGGCAAAAGGCTTCAGCAACATAAGTGCCAAAGATGGGATAGATATGACCTGCCCTACCCTCCTCCATTAACTGAAGAGCTTGGCACATCCAGAACAATCACTACACACTACACCAGCATTCGTAACCAAAACACCTGCCAAAGCGAAGACCTGATCTGGAAAACAGTGTTTGAAAGGAAAGGTAGACACTTTTAAAGCTTTGTATAAACAACGGAGATTTTCATAGTCCTGTATTCACTCACTAAAGGTGTGCATTGTCTCAAATGTGGTGTGCGCCATAGTTTTAGCATTCAGTAGCCAGTAGATGGATGTTGTTATCAGTGTCCTCATTATTCCATGCCCCAGTTACCCAAACATGGTCACCGCATTTGATGGTAGCTCTATCCCGATAACAAGAGCACTTCTGGTTGCCTGTGGTCTGTTGCGTTGGTTTGTCTGTGTGAGAGGATGTCTGCAAGCTGGTGTGGAGCTAATAGGGAGTTAATGTTTTGAGAGCAGGATAACTGTATTACCATTTTTGTCAACATGTTCCTAAAAGAGTGAGTTGGTGCTGTTGGCCAGCTCAGAGCTGCAGCATCCTGCTGACAAGAACAAGGTGAAAAAAAAAACACGTGCACACTAAAAACGTATCCCCACACACCTCACTGTGTGAAAATCACTCTTTTCCTTTTTTTTTCTTTTCTTATCTCATGTCTATGATTTGACCTGTTTTTTTTTAATCCCCTCAAATCTGTTTCTTCTTTTGTGGTTTTGCATTTCTACGCTCATCAGTGCTCTGCATCGTTGGTGAAGCCACGTGCTCTCTGTTTATCGTCAAAAGGGGAGGGAGATATAGAAAGAGAGATAGAGACAGAGTCTGCACCTCTCTCTCTCTTTTTCTCACTGCCTAGTGCACCCACTGATACACACACACACTCGCCAACGAACACTTCACCAGTCCTTTGGAGCCTGAGGGACACAAACACAGACACAGAAACCAAACAACAGCTAAATTAGCATCTATCCACTGAAGGAGCTCTGAACTACACCACAGGTACAGTAGCACATTTTCCATCTTCAGCATGTGTTTTGATGTATTTATCTGAATGAGTTAAACTGTGGTCGATATTTAAGCTTAAACTCTACGTGAAGCTGATCTGGGCTTTTTATTTCAACCTTTTCCTCGATCTGCCAAGCAAAGAGTAAAGATTTAAGCTCCCGTACGCTGCAAGTGATTTGTGTAAGAGAACAGCAGGATGCTTAAATGAGGGCAGGATTTTTGGCACAGAGTGTGTGAATACTGCTGCTGAGGCTTTGTGCTCTAAACTTTTGTATCCCCCCCACACACACACCCACCCACATCACACGCACATAGAAACACAACACACCATACACCTTTCATAGGCGTTATCTGCAGTGGCTTAAGGTGTACAACTAGAACCTAACGAGTGTTCAGCTTGAAAAGTCTTTGCACTTTGTTTAAAACCCCACAGCTTTATATTCAGACATAACTGAGTGCAAATACAGTCTTCTTTGGACTACAGAACACTGAAGGAGGTGAATGATGAGTATATATTCAGCAAAGTCATAAAAGTTGATTGGATTTGGTGCAGTCTTGTTTCAGTGGTGCTCTAAATCTTCCTGCATTTGCTGAACTTGCTGGCAACACCAGACAGAATGAGGCTGTAATGCATAGTGACAAAATGGTTGGGGTAAGGTGTGATTTTTTTTCTTTTTTTTTTTTTAAGAGACCAAAAAAGTCCATTGGGTGTGATCAAACCTGTATTTTATCTGGGATGTTATGCTCACAAGATTCAATTTTCCTTTATTTACACATAATTGAATTTCTGGCAGGATGACGAAATAGAGCAGATCCAGCTTTTTGTTGTACCACTCCCAAGCTATGTCTAAAAATTGATGCTCTCAATGTCCCAATTTTGTTTGGGGCGCTTACATAACTTCTCTGTTGAATACATAAACGCCGCTCCCTCTTCCCCAACTTTTTGTTTTTTTTAGGGAATTTGTAAAACTAGTTTGCCATCGTTTTTACCATACTGCTTATTCAACACATGAAACAGCCACTGAAGCCTGTCTTCCCTTTGGGAGTTGGTCTGTTTCTCAGCTCCTGGTTTATTAATAGATTTATAAAGAGTAATACAATCCTGCTTTTGTTCCTGCACGAGTATCACAGAGACACAAAGCTACGATAGCTCACACCGTATCACTGATCCTGTCAGCCTATAATAAAATGATGGATTTTTGGATTATGTAACAGTTGATAGGTTCGTCAGGAAATATGAGTGAAAATAAAAGAAAATTAGAAATTATGGAGTGTTGCAAAGTTTAGCCAAAGTCCAAGTTCAGCAGGTGATGAAGTACTGCAAACAAGTAACATAGCTGGGTTACAGCCTGGGTTAATGCTTTTGCATCACACATATGCCGTGCCTGTAGGTGGCTTTATGGTTGTGAGCATTACACACTCTGTGTTGGTCTACAATACTCCACCTCAACACTAGTCAGCAGTGCAATGTCAGTACTCGTCATATCCCCTGTTTCCGGTCCTGCTATGTTCTCTTCTTGTTTGGTTCAGGAAACTTTGGCAGCTGAAACAAAGCATAATATATTTGAGTTGAAGCTGATAAATGTTGCACGGCAGTTGATTGTGCTTTAATTATTGCATAGAAGGAAAGAGAGAACGCAGACTATATGACCACTGAGGAAGAAGAGAGGTGACAGTGATGATGTTGGACATGTCTACAATGTCCAGAAGCAGACCTACCTCAGGGGGTTTTGCAGTCAGTGTTGTTTTGTAGTAACATTTCTAAGGAGGTGCTTAAGCTATGTGTGTAAGCTTCTGCATAAGGTGCAGGGCCATGCAGACAGTGTAGGTCAGATGGAGAAGCATAAACCAGGCTTTAGGGCTTGTTCTAGTAATGCAGGTTAGGGGTGGGTGGTGCACTGGTTTCAATGCCCTCAGTAGTGCCATGTTGTGCTATGAAATGAATAGTGCCATACTTTCAACACTGCTTTGTGTTTTGTGCAATTTTGTTTTGGTTTTAGTGGTTTGATGACCTATTGCCAAGATTTGTGTCTCAATTACCATGGGTCTACCAACTTAAACCTCAGTTTGGTACCTGGGTTGTCTTATACCCAAAACGATGAAAAGGAGAAGGCTGCAGTGGTCTGACTGATGGTCAAAGGAGCTGCTGTAAATGTAACTCTTCCATAGTTCAGTTAACGTTATAGTTAATTTAGTTATGTTGCTGGAATATCTTTATCCTTAAACAGCCACATAAGAAATTAGCTTGTTTTCAGTCATAGAAACTTAACTGCACTGAGCATCATCTCTCGGCTTGCTGTGTTTGCTAATGTCATGTAATGTAATGTAACTGATGTACTGGAGAGTGCCTAGATAAGCCCCTCAGAGGGTCTTTGACATTTGTTTTTGTCTAATGCTGTTGTATGTTAATCTTTATTACTTACATTAAAAAACAACATTCCCCATAAGGTCTGCGATTTCTTAATGTAATGCCATGTAATTACCAAGAGGAAAAAAACAAACAAACAATATGATCATAAGGTCACATCACCCACCCCTAATAGAGGTTAGACACTAACTGATAATTTAGAGTGTGGTCTGTTGGTATACTGTAGCCTATAGTTGTCACAACACCATCACCAAACCTGAGAAGTCTGTTTGGGATGCTGTGCTAGATGCTAGTTTGTAACTAGCTGTTTCTACAAGATATTACACAAATAATTCCCGCCATTTCTTTAGAATTTACCTTAGTGGAGTAAAGCAGCAGATTAGATTTGCTTTCCTAAATAAGAAAAAGTGATTATTTGTCATCATTTATAGCAATTAGTTATAAGTATTTTTTTAGGGGTCAGAGGACTGAATCTTTTAAACAGTCTTGCTCTTTTTTCTTGGCCTCTCTTTGCTAAAACAACTCTTGTTCCTTGGAGTCCCTAAACCCCAACCCATCACCCCTACTCTCCCCCCTGTCTCCCACTGGTATTTCAAAGCCAAACAAAGGACGCTGGCACTTAAAGTAAGCCACTGAAAAAAAGCAGTGTTGTTATTAACGTGTTTTGCATGCATATTTTCTCTCTGCTAGATGTTTCTGTTAGATCTCTTCTCTAATGAGCTTGGCAATATTGGGGAATGGATCCACACTTATTCCCATGTGCTCTACAGTCTGTTGTACTGCCTTTTTTTTTTCTTACCTCTATCACAAGCTGGTAAAATTTAATCTAGAGGATTCAGTGTCTGTAAAAGCCTTTTCCCCTTCTCATAAGGTGTCATAGCTAAACTCAATCAGTCTTTTTCTATACATTGTTAACCTTTACATTTCTTTCCCTGTGGTCACGGCCATCCCCACAGGATCCAGCTAACACCTTCTTTACGCACTGTTTAGTTTTATTGCATGTTTTTTTCCTTCACTATACCTTTGTAACCTCTTTTACTGCCTTTGCACCTGCAATGCACCAACACCAGTACAGTAGATCTTGTCTCTTGTATCTTTATACCTGCTGCTAGATGGGGCCTGGATTGTTTTGGAACTTCCCTCCTAAGGCTGGCTGCACGGTTCCACAGAGCCTCCTGCAGACCATGTACGTAGGATTTGAAGCCACTCCATTACGTACCATATCGTGCCACACAGGTCCCTCCCGTAATCAGCCTGTGTTGATTTCTCTTTGGCATTTCCTCCATCCGTTCCATTCTGTCAATCAGTCAGTCCACTGTTTCACACATTCATTCTGCAGCAATGGGCCAAAGCCACTCAGTACAATAAATATTCATCATCTAATTACTAAACAAACATGCACAGGACAGCAGCGGGACAAGCGGCCCATCTGTCATCTGACAAATCTAGTTAGCAATCGTTCTCAAATCTACACAGACTCAGGAACAGATATTAGGGTTTAAGGCTGGGAGAAAAGCCAGACCCTAGAACTACTTATACCTCAAACACATAATTAGGTGAATTCTTGCTAGGATATATACAGCATTAGGTAAAATGTAATTTCAGCATGAGTTACTTCCTGTTCTCAAATCACAGATCTAACATACTATATGTTAATGACAGGAGTGGCTTCCCAGCATGTTATCATTCCCAGGTCATTTTATGTCATTGCTTTGTTTCACTTGCTCCAAGAGTGCATGAAACACATTGGACCATCAAATAACCAGAGTGTAAACCAACAAATTAAGTGTTGAAAGATCAGAGCAACTCTTGCTAATGTTGCTATAAAAAAAAGCAAAAAAAAAAACAAACAAAAAAAAAAACTGATAAACTCAAACCTGATAGACTCAAGTGTCACACTTATGACAAAAGGTTACATTCATTTATGCTTTGACAGACCTGTTTGGTGTTAATAAACTGTTGGGTGAGGCTTAGCTGGAGGCTAAACAACCACATGGACACATTAGCTAGGGCTAGCTAGCAAGTCGTTTTTGGTAGTGTATTTATTTTATTGTTTTAAATATTCTGCTTTAACAGACAGCACTTTGTGCTACATTCTGTGTATGAAAAGTGCTTTATAAATAGAGTTTGATTAGTTGATGTTTACTCCGTGGATGGATGATTTGATGGTACTACCAAAGGTGAACAGCTTGATATTTGATATAACACTTAATTAACTGAAAAACCAAGAGGGCATAAGTCCTTGGATGGCTTTACTTTTGGAGTTAATCATACGTAGCAAACTAACACAGAAACTCTTTTGTGATTGTCTCCTTTGGGACTGTCACTTTTTTTTTTTTTTTCCAAAATTTGAGTTTTACCTCAAACTTGCTTGAAAAGAGTTTGTGTTTGAATTTAATAGGCTGTTGAAATTAAAATACACGGTTTATCTGTGCACCAGGCCATACAAAGTAGTTTGTTGTTGGCCAAGCAGAGGCTGCTCTCATTGTTACCTGACCACTGAATGGTACTCTTGACCTCAGTAAATTTAAGGAGGATGTGGGCTGCAGCTGAGGCCATTCTAGGTGGACAGTCACTACACCAAAACACCTGAGAATTACTTTGCGAAGGTATTTTAGCTTCTACACCACAGATAATGAGATGCAAGACAAAGGTAGCTGTCTTACTCACCAGTGAGGCATCACATGAATCACGTGTAATATTAAAAGGAGAGGTGCAGTTAATCCTGATCTAGTTGTAGACATTTATTTCTGGCAAATAATATCGTAATTATTAGTCATCAAACGGTTTGAATTGCTGACAGGTAGTCAGTTATTGCAAGTATGTCGTAGTTAAAGGAGAAGGTATTGCAATTTTTATCTGATGTCTATATCAACGTTTGGCTGGTATTTTTGTTATGCTCTGGGACTAAATGTTTTGAGACTCCTGTGATGCTTCTACCCTCTGATGGACTCTTCATTTGGCCTCCAGTTAATACCATGATGTTACTGTGACATTTGCCCTAGTTGGGTCTATTGATCTGTTTTCTAGTGAATACCATAGTTGAGAAAAGAGCTTGCAACAAGTTAAAATATATCTTATTTTAAGATGTCATTTTTTTTGTTAGATGGTTCGTTAAAATACAGAGTAAGTTTTTGAAAAGAACTTTCAAGGTGATTTTCTTAATGAACTGGGAACATGACAAAGTTTTAGAGGAAGATCGCCACTAAATGAGTTGGCGTCTTCGCAGTTTTTTAGGTCATTTGCTCTCTTTGGGTCGTACAAACAACAAAACAGCAAGTTGGTGGTCTCCATGTTGGGAAGGCTGTGGGATAACATTTCAGTATCATTGGACCTTTTCCTGTAATTGTCTTGATTGGGTGGTAATAAGATGAACCTACTCTTGCTTGATTTGAGGTTTGGTGTGTAAGATAATCAGTCATTAATAATTAAATAATTTTAATGCTGATGTCATTATAGTCTTTTCAAAGTGGTTCTGTTACATTTCTGCAGTAGCCCAGCTCAAGAAAGAGCCCAGCCCATTTTATATAAATTCTGTCCTTAATTTAGGTTTTCCTCATGATGAAAGGTGAGGGTGATAAAGCAGTCATTAGTTATGTAATATACAGTCTTATTGAGATATCACCGAGCACTACACCCTGTTCTTTTAAAATTACTCCACCTAGAGAGAGGAGGAACATAACAGCATGCCCTGTCATCACAATCACATTTCTTCTTCAGGGTGTGTGTTATCTATTACAGTCTCCCTTTAGAAATGCTAGCCTTGGTACAGGCTGTCCTTTGTGGTCGTGTGAGTCAGTCCTGAAGGAACTACATGTTCCACACATCTCTGCATGCATATCAATGCATCCCTGCAGTGAAATTATAGTATCTATGCAAGTTAATCCCCAACTTAACTGATAATAAAGGGCAAGTCACATTTAGATCACAAAACAAAAAGGTGGGACCCAAGTGGAGAACTAAAAAGGTTTGGCCCCTATTTAGTTCTTCTAAAAAGGTTTTATTAATTTTGTTTATTATTTTAATAAAAAAAGGAAAACTCAGAGAAAAACTTACTCAGAAAATGTCCAACTGAAAAATCCAAATAATGAAAAAACATTGGAAGCAAAAATCCAAAGACTCAAAAAGGTACAGGGCAAAAAAACCTGTGGTAGGACAGACTTTGAAACAGATATGAACCAAGAACATGCTGACAAACACAGGAAGTAAAACTAGACTAGACACACAGGAATCAACGACTACAAAATAAAATGGCAAGAAACTACAAAATAAAACAGAAAACACTGAAAACTGATCTAAAGAATAAAACAGAGAACACGAAAGGGAAAATACAACTAATTTACAAAACCAGGAAAAAAACTAAATACACAAGAACTAATCATGACATGAAGTCGTTGGATGGTGTTGATTTTTTATGGCTGGCAAGTGTTAAGAGCAAGAGCAGATGTCATGGTGTGTTAGAGTGCAGGAGATCAATTCACCAAGCGAATCCTGCTGCTGACATATTGGTTATCGAATGCCTGCGCTGAGCGACTCTGTGGTCACTGAAGGGATATTTCTCTTAAATGGAAGGGTGCACACCAGAGGTAACAGCTTCATTTAACCTGTAAACACAACAATACATCCCCCCTTTTGAAAGCAAATTGTTATTCTTTAGAAATGTAGTTATTTCCTGCTGTGAACTCAAAACTGAAGTTATTTCTCTGGATTACTGGACAAAGATCAATACTAAAATAGAAACTTGAACACAGATCTGACATGCATTAATTAGAAGAAGAGAACAAAAATAGATTCCTGTCATGTCAGGATCATTTTACATCAAGCCAAAAATAAACTTGCATGTTTTCTTATCAACTCCTTGACTTCCTTTCAGCTCTGCTTAAGTGTCGATGAGGTGAACTTGATTTTTTAACACCAGCAAACTATAAAAAGTAAATGAAAGGAAAATGCTGTTATAAGGTATTAACTGGGAATATGGCTGAGGACAACGAACTTGTAACTTTACCAGCTACAAAAGATTGAATTGATGGAAACAAAGCAGTATTTGTTTGCCATCAGGTTGGTTTTGACTTGTCTGCCTCCTTCCCACCAGAATCAGGGTAAAAGGTTTAGTTGGCCAGCTGCATAAAAATAAAAAAATCATCTGAATACATACATCCTTATGTATGTATTCAGATGATTTCCTGATGCACTAGTTGTCTCTGATTTGTGGTGTCAAAGAAACAGTAGCAGCCAAGTTTTCAGTGGTTCAGGAATGCAGTTATATTGGTTGATTCTCAATAGGATGCAAAACAAGTTTCTTTGAGATCATGTGCTGTAAAATTAGGCTGTTGAGCTATAATTTCTAAAATAATGATCATTCACAGAACTGCAACAGATATTTAGAGCCAATGGGCAAACGCACAGAGGCACTGGCTTCTGTACAAAAGTTTAGAGGCCTCTTGTTATACTGTGGATTTTTCCTCTTTCGAAAAAAATTCGATTCACTACCAATCCTACAGCTTAAAGAGTTGTAGGATAAATTATATATCAAAATGTACTGTTTGATCAAGATTGGTGTATTATTACTTTATGATATATGAATATTTTGGGACATCAGTCAAAAAAAAATGTAAAAAAAATTTGCATTAGTGTCAATTAGTGTCAATTAGTGGCTCCATTTCTTTTGTTGTATAAATGAATACATGTTTGTTGGTGTGCTCCGTGTATAAAATATCACAATGCTACTAGTATTAATTATTTGAAATCTCTGAAGAATCTCTTCAGAATGTACACGTACCCCAGCAGCAGTAGTAGTAGAACATATTATTATTACATATTGAATTTCCAATCAAAAAAGTTCTTATCGTGTTAATTCCCATGTTTACAGTTTGAAACTATCTAAGTCCATATTAACAACGTTAAGCAATGTTTCACAGTGGCTTGATTTTGAAATGCAATGGCATGGACTGAATGATCTCGGCTGTTGGGTTCCTTTTCAAATCGGTTTTGTACTGCTCCAGCAGCATGGTCTGAAACTATGAGTCAGTGGTAGGAGACAGCTTCAAAGTGCTTACTCTGTCAAATGCAGCGTTAGTGTTGTTTTTCAAAGCAGAGAAGTGCGATGTCAGATCAGTGTCAACATGGTTTTTCTAGGACAATATTGATGACTCGCTCATGTCAGCTGATCCTTAGTAAATGAGACAGCTTTCGCACTTTTCTGGAGTTACAGTTTGGTTTTGGTTTGGTCACTTTTCTGTACATTTAGGTTCTGTATGCATCAAATTATTGTTCCCCATGACATTTATGCTTATGACTGGTAACAGACGTCAACTCAAGTTAGTTTCACAAACAGGTTTGTGGTGATTCGAACACTCTGCAAAAGTGCTCAACCAGCATTTGTGATGCGATTGCTTCCTGTCATCACTCTGATTGGCTGCACCTGTATGCTTCCTTTCATCACTCTGATTAGCTGCACCTGTATGCTTCCTTTCATCACTCTGATTAGCTGCACCTGTATGCTTAGCTCATAGATGGTGTCACACTGAGTACTTAGATTATATAAACATCATCTAATTCTGTTTGAAAGAAAGCCCATAACACTCTTGAGTTTTTAAATGTATGCTTTAAAGAATACATGGCATTATTTTGGCTGCAAGAAGATACTGCAGTGGCTTTTCTAGGGTGTGCAGGGAGTATTTAATCTAAAAGAAGTGGTTAATGTGCACACCTGTGTACCACATAACAATTTAACTACCACCTAGGCACAATTGTGCGTTTTCAATCTCCAACTTTGTTTCTGTCTACACTGGAACTAATGAACAAAAGCTGTAAATAACAAAACACATTTTCTCTTCAAATTTGGATTTACTGTCCCATAGATTTTGCAACTTCACTTCAAGACAGTAGTTGTTTATAATGTGTATGCCATAAATAAACTTTTTTATCTGAGAGACAAACATCAATATGTAGGTCTACATCTCTGGTAGGGAATAAAATACAGCACAATCACTTCTGTTGGTTTTTCTGGGTTAAGGATTCAGTGGATGCTCATAAAACCAGAAGGAAGGGACTGTCGTTTGCCCAGAAAACCATTCATCCCCTCCACATGCTCTACTGAGCTTTGCTTCTGGACATCTGCTTGTCCGTTTGTTTCAGGAAGGAGTCCGGCAAATAACCCGTCTTCCCTCAGTGTGCTTCTGGTAACCACACACTGTCTGCCCGTCTGCCCTGCTGGCATCCACCTGCATCCCTGTGGGTGGACAATAGAAACACAGCAACTAGAATGAATATGTGATTTTATTTTTAGGTGTCTGCCAACTGTGCCATTCAGCTCAAGCCAAATTACCACAAGTCATGGTGTGGGAATGCAGGTGAATTTATGTAAGATGTAGTGTTTGTCTGTAGCGGGTGGTCTCTCATCTGATAGTAGGTGACATATTCATTTCTCAATAAGACAGCAGGTGATTAATAATCAGGGGGTGTTTATTAATAGTAGTGCTACCTTGTCAGAAGTAGCTCTGCTTATATTTGCTGCCATTCTCAGCCAGGTCTCTCTTACAAAACAGATTCTGGATCTCAATGGGACTAACCTGGTTAAATAAAGGTTATAATAATAGATACAACCTTTAAAGATTAGAGCTTGCTGTGTATTATCTGAACCATGATAGCTTCAACAGACTTACTAATATGTTGGTGGATGTCAACAATCTCCCATAAACAGCTCAAATACGTTATTTAAGGCAACAAAAGGGGAGTTTCCCCCCAGATTTGAGCCAAGCCCATTCTTAGTCTTTGGCACCTTTGTTAGCAATCAGGTTCAGTACTCTGTATTTGTTACAGGTACCGAGTCGATACAGGAGGAGGTGGTTACTCGTTCTCTGTTGCTGTTGCTGAGATGCTTTAAAAAAGGAATCATAAATAAGTGATGGACTCATACCATTTATTTACATTTTCACACTTTCATAAGTACATGCCTGCATGCTTGGTTTTTGCACCTGTTTGCAGCTGAACCCAAAATCAGATGTGGTGTATTCAGTGTATGTGTAAGTTTTAAGCTGTGCAGATATAGGCTGAGTCTGTTTAGCTCGCTACCACTGAGCCTCAGCCATTCAATTTTACATTTTATATGTGAAATTAAGAGTGGCACCAAACAATATGTGTTTATTTACAAATAGATTTATGTAAATTTACATTGCAGTCATACTTTATAGGCCTCACAACTATGATCAGACTTTTACTTGATAAAGAAATACAAACAAACAAGACTGGAGCTCTGTCTGCAGTGCAGGCACCTGTAAAGTCAGCTTTTTTTGTTTGTCTAAGGTAAAACTAGGCTATAAACATTGATTGAAATTTTTTTTTTTCACACCTTCTCCGTGAATTAATAACCCGACTCAGCAAAGTCCCAGCTGTGAGCCCAATGAGGTGATGAATAAAAGTGTGCTCATAATTTCTTTTTTCTTTTTCACTTTTCTAAAGGTGAAAATAAAGATCTGTGGATAAATGGGCACTTTTATTACCCCACAAATTAAAGTTACGAGGTCAAGTTGAAATACTCAGACCCTGACATGAGGAGGTTCCTTCTGATCACTAACTCATCAGAGGGGTTCAAATGAGGTATAAAAAACTGATCTTAGTCTTGAGGTTGAAGTCAGAGACGGTGTTTCTCAGTGTTAATGGATTGCAAGCTCAAAAACAAATGAACCTCATTTAATCTAATTCGTATCAAGATATTGTTTTATATATTTGTAATTCAGTTTGGACCACTTTTGTCAGAAATCATTATTGGTTTGCAGTAACTGTGTTTTGGGATCAAGCTCTGTGATTGCTAAGAGCTCCCCGCCCTTCCATGTGCTGACATGGAACGCCAAAGCCTGAAAGAAGAGGTTTGTGCAAACCTCCTCTTGGTTTGATGTGCATACATGAAAAGACATGTAAAGACCTTCGGAAAACAGAGCTAAGCTGGTGCTACATATGACTCAGATCAAAATCAGACACAGGAGGCAGGCTGCAAATCAGCTGTAGAGGAAGACGCAAGAGAGGGCAGTTTAAATAAGATGTTCATTTTGACATTTGCCATCTGGATGCATAGAAGGTAACCAGATGAGCTGTCAGCATAGAAGGGCTGGTATTTGGGTCAGTGGATTTACTGTTTGCTGAGCTTGACTTTCACAGCCTGCCTGAACTAGCACTGCACTAAATATGTTCTCAATTCTGGTCGACATCCAAGGCACTTTTTTTTAAAGCTTTACGACATGAATTCAAACATCTGAAACCAATGCAATGTAAATATGTATTTAATAATGAAGATTACAGAGGCTTGGTGCATAAACTCTGCACACATCTGAAACACTTGTAGCTAACAGAAGCTAATCTCTGCGCAGGAGCTACAAGACAGTCCCGCCAAAAAAACAGACCCTTGAGGGGGCATGCCCTTTCACATCACGACTCTGGTGCCATTACTGTGAGCTGTGGCAGAAATAAACCTTTGAGTGAGAGTGTTGTCAAAGGTGTGAACACAACACAGTGCCTCTGGACACTCCCTGTGTCTTCAGTTTTTTCACTTGTTTAACCTGGAACAGCTTGTCCTTTCTTCTGAATATCTCACAAAAATGTTGAGATTTCATCCTAAGCTGAGGCAGCTCTTCAATTTCCTGTTACAGCCAACTTCTAAGGCTAGTGAGCACCACTTTTTAGAAACACAAATCTTTCATCTCGTGCTGCTGTCACTGTTGCTTGGAAGAGAAAGTGCTGCTCGAGGGTTTTAGTCTGGAGATGATAGCTGATATTTAATATTTAATCCTCCACTTAGACACTGATATCTCTGCTCTGGGTAGCTTCAAATCCATGGAAGACTACTGTCAACATTCAGCTGCTGTAAATAATTGAAAGTTTAATTTTAAACTGTGAAGACAGCTTAGTAACCTTGGTTTTAGGACTCTTGTAGGCACTATTTTTCTACTGGAAGTGGTGTGAAAACATGTCATAAGATGAACTGGTGACTTGAGGTGTACCCTGTCTCTTATTGAATGACAGCTGGGATTGACCCCAAACAGAGTAAGCAGCAAAGATGGTGGATGGATGAATGGATGTGCAAACTTTCCATCATTAGTTTGTTTTGCATGTGTTGCATAAACCAACAGGATGGACGATGGCGATTGGAGGGATGACATGTAGGATGGGTGACATGCTGAACATGTCACTTCTTTTCTTCTCTGTCTGGAAGAAGCCCCTTCAGGGAAAAATCACCCTCACAGCTCAAAAATGCCATCAACTGAAAGGTTAAGATATAACTGCTTAGACCCGCCTACTCTTCCTGCTTCCTCTTCAAAATGTTCTGCAACCCACCTCCATCCTAGCTTCTCTATTTAATGCTGTGTCTGATTTTATCGATGTGATACGTCTTGTCACTGATGCCTGATCTTTGCTGCTGCTCTCCCTGCCTTAGTCCTCATTATTCTGCATAAGTAAAAGGGAGAGGATTTGCAGCTAAATATAACTTCATGCATGCAAATAATTATTTTTGACTTAAGTGGTCTTAGCTGAATTGGATATCATTGACCTACAGGGTCAGTAAAAATGATTCCACACTAAGGCCATGTCCACACGTAGCTTAGTATTTGCTTCAACAAATATATTTTTGTACGTTTTGGCCTGCTATCCACATGGAGCAGCAGAATTACGTCATTAAAAACTGCGCTTTTGGAAAACTCAGGCCAAAGTGAAGATTTTGGAAAACTCTGGTTTTGTTTTTGCATGTGGTTCCTTTACCTTATGAGCTAGGTTTGAAGGAATACATTTCAACACATCATCAATTATCAGGTTATAAAACAGAAATTGCTGGTTTGAAAACACTTGATCAGCTGTTACCATATTTAGTTTTTGTATTTGTTTCCTCTTTGCATCCTCCCTCACTGCCCAAACATCACTTTTTGCTTTTATAGCTTCTGTTTCTGAGTCCTCGTTGCTTGTTGCTTGTAACCGGTCACTCCATCATGTCCAACTCTTTGTTAGCTAGAATAATTGTATTAATGGTGGTGTGTGATCACAGTGAAGGGCAGGTGGACTGGGATGCAGTGATCTTTGGAGGGCGATTTTCCTCTTTGGAGTGTAGCAGCCATATGTCTCATTAATACACATGAGCAGAGTCTGTGGCCTTGTAGCCTGAGTGTGCTGACCCCTGTGGAGGGGAAAGTCAGCATTTTAACTTTGCCTGTTAGATCACTGAACCAGAAAGATGAAGAAAAATAAGATGAGTAAAAATAAAATAAAATAAAATATATATTTAGTATGATTCTTAAGTTTTAAATCTTTGTCTGTCATGAGGTGGTTTTAACTAAAATGACATTTATGTTTCCCAGTTAGGAACTGAAATTGTCTATTTCAGGTTCTCCTCTCTTATTTCCTCTTATGCCATTTTGTGCTTGCCTAGTTTCCTGGTATTGATTCTGTGATTGTACATTAGATCAAATGCTTCCCCTCCACATAGCTGTGTAATTGATTTCCTGTCTAAAGAGGGGTTTTCTATGAGCCTCTTCAGTGCGCCTACACTCCCCATAAGTGCTCAACGGCCATTTGACTACTGTGAGCCAAAGTACTAGCCCCAAAACTTCTATTGACTATGCATGACATAAAAAAAAAAAAAAGAAAAAATGTTGACATTGATTTATATATGAATAGGCGCCCTGTCAGTTCAACTTAAGGCTTAAAAAAATCAACATTTTGTGATACAGTGTGACTATTGAATTTGTCTTCGGGGATCAATCAAGTTCTTCATATCATACCATATCATATCATATCATATCATATCATATCATATCATATCATATCATATCATATCATATCATACCTTAAAATAACCATGCAGACAAACTCTACATTTAATGTCAAAGAAGAGAATGTCACCAGTTAAAACACATCAAACTGTCACTTATATGCAACAGGTGTGCTATAGGTGCAAATCCTCACCACCTCCATGCTTTTCTTTGGGTTATATTGAGGATCTCTTTCACGCATGCTTAGGAACCATCACGTCATTGCACTTTTATAAAAAAAATAAATAAACAGGAGATAAATACAGCCATAATGGCTACAGATAAAATGCTTTTTTTTCTTGTTTTGGAGTGGAAAATGCCTCTGAATATGTTCACTTTATCTGTGTCATACACTTTGCTTACTTCAGTCAATCAGCTGGAACAGCATAGCAGCATTGCATTGTGGGAGAGGTTAGGCTAAACTATCCTGTTAAGGTGAAGAATCCAGATGTTAAACAAGTTTCATCAATATAAAATGATAAGCTCATAAGTTTTTGATTTTTGGGGTCCTCATCGAACCATGATTTAGTTCTTTTCCCTTGAGAAAAGTTGAATAGTATTTGGTTACATTCCCTGATATTATAAAGTTACTTAGAGCTTGTGGTTCTGAGTCTTCATGGAAGCTCCTAACAAGCAGAACAGCCCCAGGTTTCAGTGAAAGTAGAGAGAAATCCAGCTTGTACTTGTCTTTGTTTACAAAAGTGTCTTCAGTGGAATGGGGAGCAAAAGCAGCTGTGTACTTCCCACTGCTTTCCTGCACCTTCATGTAGGGAGCAAACAACAACTTTGACAGTTTTGCACAACATTTTGCTACATTTAGCTCATAGCCCAAAGAACTCACATCACAGTAATTGTCCTGAAAAGATGGAGTGTCAGACTGTACCTGGGGCAGGCACTGCAAAACATTCAAAACTGTCACAAGTGTCATGTCTGATTAAAAGTAAAAGAGAGTCTTACGAGTTTTGATTGAAGTCAGATTCACCAGAAAAATCTCTGATTTCAAAAGATTACACAGCAAAAGTCAGAAGTGAATTGCTCGCTATGGGAGAAGAAAATATGTAAATGGAAAAAGAAAAGTTTAGTTTTTTAACTTTAGGAAACATTAGTTAAAGTTCTTGAAAGGGCAAAATGCATTATTGGAGATTTTGATGAGTATTTTTATTTTGTAATTTTTACTCATGAAAAACAACCTAGGTCTTATTTTTTGGTCTGTAATATCTTTGGACTTCAGTGGCCTAATTTTAAGCCTGATAGACAATTTCTTTTGCTAGACAGTCACTTGCTAAGATTTGAGTCTTTGCCCTGATAAAAACAAAACCCATAATATTTGAAACACTTTTTACATGCTTACAGTTATCTGATTAAGGCCTACGTTTTAAAACCTCTTGTGGATTTGAGCTCTCACCGATATTGTCAATTGTAACTTATCCTGGTGTTATGATATGTCTTAATGTTACTTAGAGGAAATTTTACCTCCTGCTGATGTTGCTATGTGATAGCTCTGCACTTGTGATAGCTTGGCTGAAAACTCGGTGTGTTCAGTGTGTTATTTACTCAGGGAAAAAAAAACCTTCAGGCAAACAGAGAAAATAATTGATTGAACTTTGCAGTAAGATTGATAATTCTCTGTACACAATTGCTCAGGATGACATGGGCCGGGATTACTGCAGCTGTCATGGTGCTGATCATTGTAAAGCCTGTTATGTGTGTACTTTTAATCTGTCTTTCATTTGTCTGAACAGCACAGTAGATCACAGTGATAATCAGAGACAATACAAACGTCGTCTTGTAACCCTAGATTATCTGGAGGAGGAGGATAAGAAAGCAAAGAGACAGGTAGAGAGAAAAGGTTACTATGGTGTGACTGTGGGAGGCGTGATTTGGTGAGAGGTCAAGCAGAGCTAACAGAACAAAAGAGAGGGTTGTGTAATCTACAGCAGGAGAGGTGAGCGCACTGATGCAATTACAGCGATGGAAACGCAAAAAATAGTAATACTGAGGTGTCAGCTCTGCTCATGCTGCTTATAAATAACCCTGTTCAAAACACATAAAATACAAAAATGATCCGATTATTGTGAAGAAAGAAAAAGATAAAGAGCAAACATAAGAGTAAAGGGAAGTGTAATTTTTACCAGCTGCTTTTGTAAGATGGTGGGAAAATAGTGTGCAATGTAAAAAAATCAGTGAAGAGAAAGTGAGCCAGACAGGATGGAACCAAGCTCAGTTGTCATAGCAACCCTGTCTGTGCAAAAATAAAGAGGAAAAAAAAAAAAGAATGAAAGAAGGAGAGACGAGAAACTGGGACAGGTCCAATTTTTTTCTCAGCAGCAAACTGCTGGAGAAGCGGACTGTTTTCTCCCCAAACCTGAGGAAAAATGCCCCGTTTGTTCTGGGAGAAAGAGCTCCTTCTGTTGGCAGCGTGCCTTCACAGAGGAGGACAGGAGAAAACAGGTCTGTAAATAACTTCTCACCCACTGACACTTTGGCTGCCTGTGCTGGGATGAAGTGAAGCTTTGAAGTCAGGCTCTCCACAGCAGAGACTGTGATGGCTACATGGCTCACGCCCCAAAACTGCACAGAAGAGGTGAAATTAAACACTAGGACTCTGTGATGTTGGAGGGATACAGTGACAGAAAACGGTTAGAGTCTACATGAGTTTAGGAATCAACACTAAGTATAAAAAAGGGTTATGAGGAATGAGAATTCTGAAATGCTTGTCTTCAGTGGTGCACTCGAAGGGAGGGAAGCAGAAGGGCTGGCTGCCCCCCATGGCGCCATCATGTATGATAAATTGCAGAGGTGGCTCCATGGATGCCCCTGTATCGAATGAAATAATACAAAAAGTCTACTTAGATTCCCCTCTAGTGGATGAAACATACTGGAATATGCTCTAACATGGCCTTCCAGTGGGTAAAACATGATAATGGGCTCCCCTGGTGACTTAACGTGTATTTTTAAGGTTTGTGAGTGACATTTAATGGCCCCCCTATCAGTTATGTGATGATTAAGTAAGTAGAAATTCATCTGAACTATGAAGACCCTTTAAAAAATATCATACTCCATTAGGAAGTAGTAGTAGTAGTATCTATTTTTTGGTGTATTAATCCATTGGTTAAATTTTAAAAAGATTTTGGTCAGTTAGTGAAAAAAAATCATGCTTCATTCTACCGATGAGGATACCCCCTTGACCCCTTACATTTGTCTCACTTTGTTAAAATGCACACTCAGTGTGGGTAACTTGAAACACTAGCTATACCAATTCTGTACTCTCTTAGCTGTCATTGTCAAAATAACACAAATTCCACCATTACAGGCAGGTAATGGGCTGCTGTGCAACAACCCTTACAGGACGGCAGAGAGGCAAAAACTGAAGGACTTACAAACATTATCAATGATCACAATCTCCTGCATGCTAGTAACAGAGCCCTTGTCTTTTGTCATTATCTACCTACAAGTTAATGTCATCAATATACAAGTAATGTCTAGTTCCTGAAGAAGGCTGTCAAAAACAATGTGTGTTTTCGTCTGATGACAATTACATCCTGGACTCTGATACAGAGACTATGGGCTCTATTTTGGTGCCTCGCCGGAGATCTGCCGCAAGCGCAGCGTCAATCAGATCCGCCGCGCTGACAAGGCGTTCCCAAGCACATTTTGGTATTTTGGTGAGCCGCGCAGCCCGGCGTAAGTATCCCCCCTCCCTAACTCAGCTCCTCCCAGCAGCATAAGTCGTAGACGGGGAGGAGAGAGGGCGTGTAGTAGATTTAACACAGCCGAGACCTGTTTTCACCAATCACATAAGCTCCTCTCCTTGCCTTTAAATCCGCCACCGGCGAGGCGTATTACTATTTTCATGAAGTAGTCTAAGAGATCGAGAGATGTCTGAAGACAGTTATGCCACACGATGGCGACAGAGGGCAGCTGCTCAACAAGTGTCCTCCACACTCTCTCATATGAGCACAGATGGATTTGGTGTGTGTAATGTTGGACCCACTGGTAAGACAAACACCCTTTTCCACAAATAAAGACACTCACATAAAGTTGCATATATTCAAACCTCACGTGACAAAGGTGGGTTTAGCGCACAGATCACAACATAAACTCCAAAAATGGCATTAAAATCGGAACCATCTGTGCGTAAATGACGCATCGCGCTCCGTGGCCTGGCTCTTTCTTTCATAGATGTTGGCATATAAAATAAATTTGGCCCACAAAACTGAATATTATAATATCCGTATGTTGGCTTAAAGTAGATCACGCATCTGAGCACTGAAACAAATCATCTGTTCAGCCGCAGCAGCAAGCAAGACGGACAGAGGACACGGAGACGTGTCCAGGTCGAGCTGTGCGAGAAATAAGACGAAGAAAGAAAAGGAGGGAGACACATTACATATCTTGTTAACTTCATCATGTGTGTTTATTTACTAGATATTTAATTTAATTTGATGCAGTTTCAGCTGTATTGATTCGGTCAGGTTGTGTGCCCAAACGCGTGCCAAACGCGTGCCAAACGCGCTCATCAGATCAGATATAGATCAGAATATATCGATATAGATCTAAATGTATGTGCTGACTCAGATTAATAGTTGTTGATGATTATTTATTGCACTGAAATGTGCCTGACACTGTGGAAACCTGCCGGTGAGGCATCAGTGACGTATGTCGATACGCCGCCGGTCTACCAAAATACTACTAGACCAGCTGCGTTCCGCCTTGCGCTGAAAGCTGACCAGGTTTGAATCGGCGAGCTTTCAGCGCACGTTACACGCCGGTGGCGAGCACGAAAATGTCACTGCGCCAGCTGATTCTGTCAACACCTCCCCCTGCCACGCCACCACGCCCAGCTTGGCGGATCTCGGCTCGCCTCCGTGCGACTCAGTCCACGAAAATACCAAACTCGCCTTACGCCGGGCTCCGCCAGACGAAAATACAACTGCGCGGTGCTCGCCGCCTCACCGGCGCGAACGAAAATAGAGCCCCCTGTCAAAACTGCAGAAGTACATCTGAACTCTCATCCCAGACATGTTTTAATCAGAGAGGAGAAGCTCATTCAACCAAGATTTTTCAACCCAAAACAGAAAAATTTACAGGAATGCCCTCCCAGGTGATAAAGTTTGTCCAAACAGACAAATAAATAAGAGGTAAACCTGTACAGGAAATTATCTCGAGAAGCACTTTGGTAAAATTGTAAAGACTGGACTACTCTGGGTCCATCAGTGATATATCCTGATTCCTATCCAAGCCTGAAAAGTTTTTCCTGATAGTAAAGCTTAAACACAGGTCATATTTTGGGAACCAGGTCTGCAGCCGGACCCAGAACTCTAGAAACTTCCTGAAACACCAAAGAACTGGAGATTGGACTTGATGATGTCCTGGGGTCACACAGAACCACCAAAATAAGTGGACTCAGATATCAAATTCATCCCTATCTGAGCATTAGGAAGACTTCTCTCCATACATAAAAAAGCATGATGGACCCACATCCACACACTGACAGATTCACTAATAAGATGCACAAACTAAATTTAAAAAGTTGTCTTCATGTGGAAACAACTTCCCCATAGCAAAACTTAAAGCCATCGGTGAGAGAACAGCAGCCCTCGAATCTTTCCACTGGCAGCAGTGGCGTCATGCAGCCAAATATAGCCCCTGTAATGCAATGGTAATTGATTTCACAACCAGATTTCTTACATAAGCATATCAGAATGAAAGAGAGGGTGAGAAAAGGAGGGATGGATAAGACGGTGAGATGGGCTGCAGTGATTACAGGGAAAAAAACAGGAGGATTAAAGAGAAAGAATTGGAAGGGAAGGAACAGAATTAACCGAGGGTTAAAAGAGGCACACGCAGGCTGTAAAACAAAGAGGAAGGCTGTGGGGAAAGATGTGTTGGTATGAAAACAACTGTCAAACAACGGTGATGGATTCAATATTTGGAAATACAAAGGAACAAAAAGAAGCAGAGGCAGTTAGGAAGAGTGTGACAGGAAGACTTAGACAAGCAGAGATTTACAAGTAGAGGATGCTGAGAAAAAACAGCAGACATGATGCCCAGATAGACGTAATATATTAATTCTATTACCTTAGCTTAGTGGGTCCTTTACCCAGGGTGGACAGACTACTAAATATTCTATCCCAGTGAAAACACAGTTACTTTAATGACGTTTTATAGAAGTACAATTACAAGTCTGTTAATCCACTCAAGTAAATGTAAAGAGTGATCTAGTTCAGATGTCATTAAAGTACTGAGAAGTACTCAGGGGTTAGGGGTAGCAAGATTCACACGACACATGTTGTTGTTGATAATTTTTTATCATTTATGAAATAGACCGAAATTCACATTGATGTTTTTTTTTATGGTATACAAAAGCAAACGGGGCCATCAGCGACAAGGCTGACAGGATGAGGTATTCGTCCAAAATACTACTTTTTAACAAACAGGGCTACAGAGGTGTTACTTTCTCCACAGGGAGCACCAAAATTGACACACACTTGAAGTTCCTCACAACATCTAAACGTTCTGATTTTCAGATCTAATCAAAAAAGTAAGAGTATACATAAAAGAGTATACAAAAAAAAACTTGAACATAATGATTCACACTATTGAATAAATGCAATACTGATGTGAAAAGGGTGGTTTCAGTTTTTGAAGCTCCTCCTTGCCCACCATTTTAGTTTGACATCCTTCAGATTCTGTTGGGGAACACTCTACATCAACAACAAAAAGCAGTTTGGGGTGAAAATGGTCACATAATACAAAACCACAAAACAGCAGACCGGCACAGTTAGCAATAAAGCTTTACATCTGAAGATCTGGACTTATCCTCAGAGAGCAAAAACAGGTCTGAAAAGCAGATCAACATCCATTTACAAGACAGACAGACCCTACGTGAACTTTTTAAAACAATCTTACACTGCTATGAAATCATTCCAAAGCATAAATTATGTTGTTAAAGTGGGAGCCCTGCTTAGGTTTTGTATAATTTTCAGGAGATGGATCCATAAATATACTCGAGCCTGGGGTGAAGATCCTAATGAAAGGAATGCAAATATATCTGGATGTACACGGACGGTTATGGAGCCAATATTGTAAAAAAAAGGAAACAGTTATGTAAGAGAGGAGAGCAGGATTTATGGAGGTGAAATGAGGATAAGGAAGTAATCCTTTATATTTATCCTACATCCTCTATGCTCAGCGCTGGTTGCTGTGCAGCTTGAAAATGTAGGCAGTGCTGTGCTCACTTTAAGTGAGTTATCTATCTGCAGACGAAGCTCTTTGTCTGTTTCCTCTATTTATGTTAAACATCCAAGTCTTTTCATCCCAGCTTAAGGAAGTTTACAAACTGTATTTATTAATCCCTGTGAGCCTTATTCTTCTGGTTTTCAGCAAAGTCAGTGACAGGAGAAAGCTTCAAGGCAGCTAAAGTATATTAAGCTTCATTTTCTCAACTACCCTTGATAGTCTCCTTATTGATGGACTATAGACTGAATAGAAACCTCTTGTGCTCCTCCCTGCTGACATGGGAGCAAAGAGGTGAGCAAATTGGACAGATACTTTAACCTATAAAGTATATGTCTATTCGTTTAATCATTCGTACAATGACAGAGCTGGTGGGAATAAAGGGGCTAGAAAACTACAGCTAATGACCACAGACACAGACTGGCCTCTATTTAGAGTGGGAAAATTAAATAGCTGTTTTTCTACCCCAAACTGAGGCAGCATTTCTGGAGCTTAACTTGCATAATAATTCAAATGAGTTGAAGACAAACAACAGTAACCTACTGCAGTTTAACCTAATGAAGAATCTCTTTGTAGACTGCAGCAACACCATCGAAGTGTTGAGCACACCCAGGGAGAAAGAAGAAATTAATAGAAATATGGAGAAAAAACAAATGAAAACGGTACATAGGTTTATTTCTGATGGGGGTTTCAAGGGAAAAGGATCAAGTGATGGAGAGACAGAAAAGACAGACAGCTTTACAGTAAAGTGTGGGAACAAAAGGAGGAGAGGTGTTGTTGTTTGCCCTCTCTTCTCAATTTAATACTCCTTGTGGCTTCATTCCAGTGGCCTCAGAAAGGTCAGACTCACCCTTTTAATAAATAAACTGGTCACAGTGGGAGGAAGCAAGTGAGGACAAAGAATGGGAGGAGAGAAGAGTGGAGAAAAAACAAAATCATCAGGCTTATTCTCAGGTTTAAAAGGCCTCACAGGTCTCAGTTTAATCATTGAAATGAACTTACAGCAAACATTGCTCATTTTTACATTTACCAATTGGATGCATTGAAGGTTATCAGCTGAGGTGTTTGCTGATATGGGCTGGTGTTGGGATAACCGTGGGCTGAACTTGACTTTGTGGCCTTTCTGAATTAACACTGTCCAATTTGTGTGCCTTTAACCTCTCCTGTCTTTTGTGGTGTTTCTCAGTTTGTCAGCTGTTGACAAACTGTCAGATTAACCAGATTTATTTCTGTTTATCATTACAGTAAGTCCTAAATGAGACTGTGATAAGAGAGCTGCATGTTTAGCTGCTGCTATCAAGAAAACTCAGACCCCTGCATTAAAAAGTTGCTATGTACATGACCATTAAGAATGAAGTTCTCACTCACAGCTGTGTGATAAACAATAGTCATGTTTACATGGGCAAAATTTATCGATCCGATTAAAAATTTGAGGGATTGGATAATCTGAATCCACTGTTTACATGGGTGCAAAATCAAATAATCTGATCATGGCGTGCGTATACATGCACCAGGTTTTATTCAGATTACAAGCACTTGGTTGTCAAATTTAGCTAAAACCACCGCAGAAGATTGTATTGATGCCTGTGCTGTCAACAAACCAACAAACACGGTAGTGGCTCACGCCATCCAATTCAGGATTTTTCCCCCTGTTAAATGTTGTCACTAGATGGCGCCCTTGCGTACTTATTTTACTGTTCTGTCAAAGGTTGCTCTGTCTGTGCAGATGTGACATCATTATGCTGTATGTACGCCTTGTTATGTTATCGCAGGAGCAGACACGGCATCTGCGGTTGTGTTTTATACCAGAGTGTTAATAATGAAACCTCTTGAACTAATTCAATAAATAAACCAAAGACTAAAGAGTGAAGATTGGGTCAGGTAAGAGAGTCACGATCGGAATAAGTGTTCACATGTATGCATTTCAGAATAATGATCAGCATAAACCACCCCTCTTGATCAGAAAACAATTACCTTTCCGATTGAGCCGAATTGAATTAGAATCTTCCGATCGACATGTTTACATGATACTTTTATTCCGATCGCGCATTTATTCTGATTATTTGTGCCCATGTAAACACAGCTACTGACTCTTTCATTTGAGAACCTGGTTAAAAGTAGTAAACTGAGGTATGAGGTCTGATGATGTACCTACAGTGGCCTAAACATTATTATTTGCACCTGTTGAGGCACATAAATGTATTAATTTGACTATTTATCCAAATGCATGATTTGTTTTAAAACAGAAAATCCTGATCATTAACCTCCTTCATTTGTCGAGCAGCCTTTTAATAAAGGCTTTTACTTGCAAATCCATTGTGGAGACCAAAGTTAGACTGGAAGGCAGTAAAGGCAACATGCATTTCAGTCAATTTAAAGCGATGATACAGCACTTCAGTCATGATGCCCCCCGGTTGGCATAGGTTCAAGAGAGGAAACATATTTTTAAAGGAATGGATGAACAGACTGGATCACAGTTCCTGTTTAGCACCATTTAAAAGGGGCTCATCCAAAGATCTGAAACTTTCTGCGTGCTAAAGGGTCAGCCTGTGAACTGTAGCAGAGTTAAGAGACATTATAGCTGCGTCAGGTTGAACCCTTCTTTTATCTGTCCTTCGATGAAGTGCACTTATGAGGTTGGCTTTTCTCTTGTGTGCACTGGTTCTCACACTCTGGGGTCACACACATACACAAACACACACTTCATCGGATGTGTGGAGTGACTCTGTCTAGCATCTGGGCTTTGTCCCTGTAAGAGTGTGTGATAAAAACAGAGATTGTGCTACGCAGCTGCCAGAGAGAGGGAGGAAACAGAGGACAAATAGGGATATAATCAGAGAAAAGAAGATGAATCCGACAGAAGGGTCAGAAAGATGTGTGCAAAATGAACTGTTGATGTCACTTCTATCCAGAGTCTGTTTTGGTGTTATTTTCCCTGGTATTGAGCTGAGATGTCCCTTAAAAGCATGTTGCGCTCTGAGTTCAGTGGAAGTGGCTGGGATGTTGTTTATGCTGCACAAAGCACAAGGAACATTGTGTTGTGTCAGGCAGACTTAAGCTCAGTCACAGAGGAAGAAGGGACATCGGCAGGCTGCCAAGAAGTGATCCTTGACCAGAGGAGGAAGAAAACAAGGATTAACCTCACAAAACAAAAGAGAGGTCCAAAAATACCTCAAAGCATTAGAAATAAACAGAAGTTGAATAATCTGATGATGTCTGATTTGGAAACTAGGGCGGATAAAGCACAGATGGGAGAGACTGGCTCCCTGACTGCTGCTGATCACTAACACCATAACTATTGTAAGATCCAGACCATAAATTGCACCAGTACATAATCTGCAGTCTGTCTTGGGGATCTACTGGGGGAGAAAAGGGTTTAACTGTCTCTCTGTATGAAAACCTCTGTTGGAATTCAGCGTACAGTTTCTCTGCAGCTGTGTAGCTCCTTCCACTATCATCTGCTTTTACTATCCTGCAAACTACCGGCACAGTAAATAATTTAGGAATACTTTAGCATTCATAGGTGTGAGATTTGTTTGCTGTGCAGAGATTTGCACCATTGCTGTCTAGAAATCTTAATGAGCAGACCAGCACACAATTTTTTAAACTAAATCCTACTGTTTTTTTATAACTTCACGATCTTGACATGGTAAGGGAGAAAGCAGCAACTAATTTCTTTGAGCACCATCTTCCAGGTGAAATACTGTAACACAATAATAAACCCCTCTCTGCATTTTATATTAGTGTACTGTTGTATAACAGCTCACCTTTTAGAAAAGTGCATCTCATACACAGAACTTTATGGCACCTTGAGTCAACCAGTCGAAGATTATGTATATGTTTTGACAGAAAAAGTGTTTTCACAGTTGAATTATCCTCTTTGTCATGCAGGAGTTGTTTCATCGCTGCTATAAATTTATTATACAGAATGGAGCAGTCAGATTTTGGATTTTCTTCAATGCCTAAATGTCGTGCATGGTGCAGTGGTGAGATGGTAGAGGCATTCTAGTTGCTAATTGTAGCTTTGGCTGCATGCAAAACAATTTGTTTGGTGAAGAAATGAGACGGAACACAATTGGCCGTAAAGCAAAAACAAATCAGAAATTATCTGCTGTAGAATTGTTTTTTTTTTAAATCAGATTGAATAAACAGAGTTGTGCAGGCACATCTTACCCATGATAACAAAGCTACAAAAAGTTGCTCATTACTCCCAAGCTTTACGTAAACATACTGGAGGCTGCATGGCAAACAAGCTTACATTTTACTCCCAAGTAAATTTGAGGCCAACAATAGGTGGGTCTGGGGTTCAAAAAAATTAATTTATTGCATTTGTTCTTAAAGATGGCTTTTAAAATACCTGTAAAGAGTTCGCTGATTGCTATCATTCTGAAAAGAATTCCTAGTAGTCAGACAAATGTAGACAGTGGAGTTGGGGATCAGTTTTCTCAAACCCCAGACTGGACTCTGAAACCGCATAAACTGAATAGCTTTTCTCATTTGACACACAACCTGTTTGCTTCTTGCGAGTGTGTTTGCTCCTTGTTTTGGCACTTGATGCTTATATTCTTAGGCAGGAACAGCAGGCAAATGAAATCAGCCAACCGAGCAATAACCACAAATAAACCAATAATTAAGTCACTAAACTCACGAACATTTAGATAACGTTATTATTGTTATCCAATTAGCATCGATTAAAATCTGCCAAGGAGAATAAACTTTGTAGCTTTTTTATTTCTGGCCTGAAATGAGGTGCTATAAATGTGTCCGATAAAACCGTAATGTAACTGAACTGAGAAAAATGACTAAGAATGATGAGGCAGCCTATCTGGTCACTGAGTGTAGCCCACTGTGTGTTGGTGAAACAGCCATATATCACATAACTGTTTTGAAACGACTTTGTCCAAACTTTATTTTTTTTTACACCCTTCATCTTCATGGTTTTAGAGAGTGTTATTTAATGTTGAAACAGATAGAACAAAGCAGCAGTACCTCAGTGAGTTCATGTGATGTCAACAGAGACTAAATTTAACTTGGAGTGTTTGTGAGTGTGTTTGGTGATGTTGCCGCAGTGTTCTTCTGTGTTCTAGTGTTGGTGGATTGATGCCAACCTCAAGCAGTGTTATTGCACTGACACTGTCTGACCCTACTCTTTGTGTGCGCTTATGTGTAGGCGAGTAACAGTGTCCTTGTGTATAACAATGTATTATGACTGTGTGTGTGTGTGTGTGTTCCCTCCAGCACAAAAGGTCAGTCTGACTGGACTATCGTACAGCCCTCAGTCCTCTGGTTACTTCAAAGCAGTAGTCTTGAACTTACAGTATAATCATGGTCAATGAGCATCCATGTCAACTCCTGTGTAAGCGGCGTGTCTCGTATATCACAAAAGCAAAGGCAGAAAAGTGCTTAAACCAGAAATTTTAAGAAAGACTTGATATTTATAGTGGTCTGGACTAAAACCAGCTATACATTGCTCCTTGCTTTTTTTAATCTCTTGAGCATTGCTTTAAAATTTGATCTATTCTGAACCTCAAAAGTTTAAAGGTCAGTTTCACAGTGACATTATGATGTCTGTGAAAACATTTTAATGACATTAGCTCCTCATCCTTATGAATACTTGACTTATTCAAAGCTTGAGGAAATTTTGTCATGTAATGTTTTTTAATTACTCTCACCAATGCCCTTTTGATTTGTTGACAACTACCCTTTAACTCTATTCTGGCATTAAGTATGGCCTGACAGCCACATGTTCCCACAGGTCTAAAAAGCAATACTCTCATACCATGAGAAGCGTTACTCTTTACATGCTGGTGGAGGAACATGACAGCATGGCATAAATACTACTTTATCAAGTTTTGGTCGCTCTTTCGACAGTTTGTATTATAACTCCTATTCCAAAAAGTTAAGACTCTGTGCAAAATGTTGATGAAAAAAGACTTAAATAAAGTAGTCAACTGAAAATAGTTTAAAGACAAAATAAAAATAAATAGATATATAAATAAAATACTATAAAATGATCAAATATGATATTACAACAATACATTTTATTGTTGATGTCATTATATTAAATCATAATCAGAATGTTTGATGGTATGGGGATGGAGAGTACAGGTGCTTTACTGACCTGCCAACAATCTAGACTTGTCACTCACTGAAAATATTTAGTGCAACATGAAACAAAAAATACCAAAAAAGAGAGACCCCAAAATGTTTGAGCAGCTAAAATCTTATATTAGGCAGTAATTTGACTTCTATAACTCCAGAAACTGCTCTCCGAGCCAACCACATGTTTGCAGAATGTTTTTTAAGAACCTAAAAAATAGAGGAAGTGATGAAACACAATGATAAACATGCCCCTGTCCCATTTAAAAATAAAGAAATCGATTTGATATGTTGTCCTCTTACTTTTGTCACTTAAATATAGATTTTAAATGATTTGATCACAATCTTTTTTTTTACTCAAAATTTTACAGTGTCACAACTTTTCTGGGATTCACAAACTTCAAAAATCAGGGGTAGATTTGTACTGAATTCCCATCTAAATTTCATCCCCTCTCTTTCAGTCAGTCCCTCATCCATCAGCCGCCTCAATGAATCCAACTCAGTATGACATCCAGTTTCGTAGTTATCTGATTCTTTCCATAATTTCACATGGTGGATTTGTGAAATTACTCCATGAAGGACTTTTCCATTTCATTAAAGTGAATCTTAACTTTCATCATCACTGAGAGTAACGTAAATGACAGCTGTTGAAATCTGCTCAGACTGTCATCTTGATAAAGTGATGGTGTAACTCCAGATGCCTGTATGTGGGTGTTTGGGTGTTTGTCTGTGTCTGTGTGTGTGTGCATGTTTGTGTGTGTTTCCATGGTGATTACAGATTGCTGTCCAGGATGGCGGGGATGAAGGAGCAGCAGTTCACGGAGGAGAAGCCCCTGCTGCCAGAGCAGAGAGGAGGGGACTCAGACATGGTCAGTCCATCCACTTCTTGCACTATGTGTTCCCTTAACCCTCCTGTCTGAATGTTAAAATGCTGTGAGATACGTGCACTATGAAACACTCTGAAACTCTTGGTGCATTGGGACAGAGGAGATTAAGCTCATTAACTTGCCTTATAATCAGACAATGTGCATGTTTACTAGCAGAGGTGGGTGTTAATGAATCCATCCAACCAAGCTTCTTTAGGAACACCTCTACTAAAAGATGAAAGCATGTATAAGCTGAGAGGGAGAGGAGGAGGAGGACAAAGGAAGATTAACACAGAGCAGAAAAACGCTGTGGGTGCTGTAAAAAGCCACTTACAGATTCCTGTCCACTTATCCACTTAAAAAGCAACAAGTCGAGGATGAATCGGGGGGATTTTGAATAATGGAAAACATTAGGCTTGGCCAAAGCAGTGGTGGCCAGTGCATTTTTCTACAAAAAAAAAACAAAACACAAAAAAACAAAAATGTTTTATATAACATGTAAGAACATTAAAAATGAACATTTATGTGTATTTGCTGAGCTGAATGAACCTCAAATTTACCAAATGGACCCTTTTTTGTTGATGTTTTTTAGCCTCTGTGAGAAATATTATAAATCAGTAAAAACCTGTCTGAATCCATGCTGGGTCTGATCCTGATGTTTGAAAAAGAAAGCAAGGGAAGGTAAATAAAGCATTAGTATCAGTGTTAGTTAACCAGCTCTTTGAACATGACAGAGTAATTTCTCTCTCTGTCGTGTTTAAAGAGCTGGTTAAATTTAAAGTTCGGCTGATTAAGTCTAAGCTCCTTAACTCTCAGCTTCTCCTGCAAAAGTCTTCTCTGAAACAGCATCGTTTTCAGCAGCTTCACTGAGATTTCCTTCTGTACTTTGTGTAACCCCTCTATCCATGACCCCTGGCTGAAAACCTTTTCCTCGAGTTCAGATACTGACTCCTCAGACTGGACCTGTATTTACTGTGACACTGCACGTCTCCATCTGCTTGTCTCAACCCAGAAATGTAGCCCCTTTCCTACTGGTCCACTTGATGGCTTATTTATTGTTTTAGTTATTGTGCCCTGAAGTGGCTCCTATCCTTGAATTGAAGTGGAACAATTTGATAAGTGCAACCACCTAAGAGTCAGTGGAGGCCTGAGGCTTCAAATGATTGAGCCCTGTACTTGAAATATGAGACCGATCAGTAAGTTTTGACATGTAGATTTTAACCTTTTGCACCTTTTTCATTTCATTCACAAGCTAAAAGATATTTATTTAGGTCTTTTAAGAACATTTTATATATTTCAAACCAATCTCAAGAGTTCAGTAATGGTCTGCCAGTCTCCCTGTGGAGAGTGACTGGGTGCTACAGAGCCACTTTCTACTGAATAGCTGTCACTGTGCCAAAGCAGCATTAGACAAGAATAATTTTCTCCTTAAGATTTTTTTAATGCAACTTTAAAAACAGATATTAGATCATTTTTATTCCTACAGCCAGTAAAAAGTCAGTTAAAGAGTCCTCGAACAGATTATTGGGGGTTTTATTTTTTAAGTGAACAAAGCAAACAAAAGGCAAAATTGATCCCTCCCTGGAAGAGCACTGAAATAACATCTTCTGCTTTTGACAATCACTTACAGTATCCCTGCTGGAGAAAGGGAAGCCACTTATTGAACATATAAGCCATGACTCACCCAACGATTGAGTCAGAAATGAGGCTGTGCAGCCTGTAAATACAGTGGCTCGGGTTTTTATTGAACTAGCTTATTAGAAATGGCCAAATATGCTGTGTATCAATATAAATGACTAATTCTGCTATTGATCTGGCAAAAGGTCATCAGGTCTGCTCATAATGAGTCACTGCTTGTAAATAATCATGACCCTGGCTGCTGCTGATCGATCCAGTTACATGTTTGTGCAGATGTAGATGACACCGGGGGAGAAACTTGTGCAGTCTTGTCTTTCTCTCGCTCTCCCTCTCAGCTAATTTAAAATCTGTGGCTCTGGTTGTTTGCAGAAGTATGACCTTTTCAGGCACTTAGAGAGTGATTACCTCCTGGCACAAGACACCGGTAACACTCTGGTCTGACTCACTGCAAGAAATGCTGGACAAATACAGGGTTCACTTCATGCAGGCTAAAACAGGATAGTCCTGATGGTACAGATCAACTATTTGGAGTTTTAATTGTTTTGAAACTGACAAAACAGAATTCTTTAAATTTATGTTTGTTGCTCAGAACAAGAAAAATAATAAAGATTTGTTTAAATACCAAGTTTAAATGGTGTTTGACAGTTCTAGTTGTAAACAGTCTTACAGCTCATCTCCACTGACAACTTTTTCCTCAATATCTGCTTTAGAGCAGGTAACACATCTCCAGCTTGGCCTTGCTCATGATACTGCACCATGAATAAAGCAAAGTGAAGCTCGAGTTCTGTTGTTTTTTTGCACTTTAAAGGTGGAGGATCACCAAACCAGTGTCTTTGACGCCAACAAAGATTGCACAGAAAACTGATAACCATAACATTTATGTGTATGGTATGTTGCTGCTCTGTTTTCCTCCTCCAGCAGGATAAAGCAGAGGAGGCATCAGGGGGGTTAGCCTGCCCCGCCAGCTCCGCGCCCCTTAACCAACCCCCTCCCCCCAGCCGCAGCACTCACCGTTGGCATGTCATCGCACGGCACTGGCTCCGCCAGACCCGCCGTCGGACCAGCGGGGTCCTCCCGGTAACTACCAGATTCACCAGAACAAGCAGAGACATCTACTATCAACAGACACACCAATGACCACATGGAGAAAAGTTAGAAAAATAAACTGAGTCTCACAGAGTAAGAAGGGAAACAAAAAAGACATGGTTGTGATTAAGGACTTGATATTTAAGTACACACACACACACACACACACACACACACACACACACACACACACACACACACACACACACACACACACACACACACACACACACAGTAACAAGGCAGAGGGTTACCCCTGACAAAGTGTTGTATTGACTATACTAGACTTACTTTACTAGCCTGGAATAAGTGTTTATACTTCCTTCCTGCAGTGTGAGCTCGGTTTGACTCTGATTTTTACTTCATGTCACCAATTTAATATCACAATATAGTCATGAGACTTATCATTTGATGAAAGAAAACTCCGGATGTTGCAGGGTAGGTAAATCTTGTGGTGTGCTGGTTTGATTGAATTGACTCCTTTGAGAAAAAAAACTGACCAGCAAAGGCGATTGGTAGCAGGCCATGGGTTGGTCTAATAGCTAGGGCTAACACGTGATAGAGCTAATGTACTCGCACAGACTGTCCATACCTGACAAGTGCATGTGCAACCTCTGTTTAGTCCCACTGTGCTATATAAAGCTAGCAGGATAGCAAAAAGAGATGGTTCCAGGAAGTTGCACAGAAACTAAACATAGTAGAAAAAAGATGATCCTGCGGTTGGACAGTGTTGGTCCTTCAGGGAAAATCCCCCAAAATGAAAATGTCCCAGACTAAGATTAAACTTCTGTAGGGGTGTGGACAGGTTACCCTGTTGACATTTGACTTGAGTCATCTTTTTCAGCTGATGGTTGGTGGCAATTAACATTAAAGACCACTACCACCCCCACTACGAACCATTAAGTTACACAGCATTACCATATGCTTGCTCTTAGTGTGGTGCTAATAATTCCTTTCAAGGTGTTTATTGTAATACTATTACACTGCAGTCTAGCCTGTGATAACAGCCCACAAATAACAGGATAAAAGCAGCAACAATGTGTAGTGTTTTTTTGTGTTAAGCTTGTAATAGCTGGCACTTGTATTGGTAAGCTTTGTACTGTAAACAAACAGTCACTGGCTTGAGGTCATATGCTGCACTGCTCTTGTAAAATAAGATTGTCCTCCCTGCACACCTCCGGTCATTGCATCTTTTGTATCAGGCCTATCAAGCAAGTTCTTCACCCTCTTAAACCCTTAAGATTAAATGTGGTTCTCCTCGAGCGAGGAACCCTTTGAAATGCAAAAATATAGGGCAAAATCTACATCTACCAAAACTAGCCTGCAGACACAGAGACTCAGAGATCAGAGGCATGAGGAGCACATCAAAGTGAAAAGTGAAATGCAACATGGGTCCAACACAGCTTGACAGCACCCTGCGTCTATGCCGTGCTGCACAAAACATACCCAGAAAGAACAGAGACCTCCAAACAAAGACGGATCACCTGAACTGTTTACTTTGGGAGCTGAAGGACTCAGAGTGTCTTTCAGTTTCACTTTTTAGATCATTAAAAGGAGAATCTCTTCATGAAAGATTCACAGAAACAACATATAATCAAGATGTGACCACCCACAGTGCTCAGTTATGTTCATCCTGAACCACATGCACTACCTTGGAGTGGGAGTTATAATAAGGAGAAGTGTGCCACCTGCTGGTCCGACCACCGTACTGTCATCACTAACATTTTCCCTCTGAAAACAAAGAGCCATTTGCATGAACCCCCCGAAGTTGCCCTTTGAAAAGCGGATTCTTGTTGAAATAGGAAATCAATTCATCGATTTATTTGTGTCAAATCTTCAGCAGCTCAGCTGATGACACAGTGGTGTATTGGCAAAAAATTGACATCTCATCCAATATTATTTGAAATCATGTCCTTTTCAAAGGGCAGCTTCAGGTCCAGAGGTTTTAGTGATGTCTTTCTCTCTCTTTAGGTGTTTCCCTGGTCTGGTGTTTTTCATGTGCCCCTTTCTTTCAGTCTCTGCTAATATCTAAGATTTGAATTTCTTTCTCTTTTCCTTTCTTTTAATCAAACTATATTTTCTTTCAGAAATATCACCAGAACTCACACAAACTCAAACTAAACTTTAACTCTAAGACCTTATTCATGCATGTTTAACAGGAAAGTATGGTTAGAAAACATCTGTCTGACATTTTTGATTGCTGTTTAACCTTGTGTGCTTTTCCTTATTTTTAATATCGAGATGTTTCTGCTCTACTTTATGCTTTAAAAAGGCAAAGGAGCAGAAACAAGCTAAATGGCATGTGCTGAAATAACACAGGTTACAATACCTAAACTTTGACTGCTGTTGTAAAAAACGACAGATGCACAGATGTGTCGTTCGTTCACAGGTGTCTTTTTTCAGAACAGCAGCGTGCACACGGTTGTGGATGAAAAACCTGTTTTATGTCAACACATCTCTTTTTTTAATGAAGACACAGATCAGATTCCTCCTAAAATGAGCACCCTGAAATTAAACTATGCCAATTTCTGTCAAATTCAAAGTGTCCAAAATCTGGAAAGCTTGATCTGGAGCTCTCACAGCTGTCACTTCTTCTGTAGTCGGCTCTACATCAATCACTGTCTCTGAAGATAAAATCCAGACAGCCTCACAGGGATTCTTTCCTCCTGAAAACTTAAATGTTGTTTTTGTATCCTGATCATATGCCTCAGCTCATCTTTGCAGACATGGATAACTGTTGAGGTGCTGTTAGAGGAATCTGGTTGCTGTTCATCACTTCATCCTGTGTTAACAAACACCACCTTTCCTCACTTTTTACCACCAGTTTGTTCCTCATCAGCCTCCCAAAAGCACTTCAGTTCATTTATTTGATATCTATAGAGCAAGAAAAATCTCAGGACGCTTCAAAGGAGCAACACAGGACTATGACCCATAAATACAAAGTTTAAATAAATATTTTCAATTTAACAAGCAGTGGCCCAGAATCGAGGCCATAGCGAGCCAGCCTGTTTCCATTACATTTAAAACTGAGACTGTATAATCTTATAACCAGTGTCTTTGGTTTATGAGTGGAACTGGAGGTCATAACAATATTGAGGTTGCTGTAGGAAATGCTCAAAGGCTGAAAATTGTATTTAAAGGAGGCCAACATGAAAGTAGACTACATGTTACATATTTTTAACATGTCAAATCATATCAACATGTTTCAATATTATTGAAACAATTGAAACAATAAAATAAGGTAAGATAAGATGAGATATTCCTTTATTAGTCCCACAGGGGGGAAATTTTAAACTTACAGCAGCACATAAACACAAAAAGAGAAATTGAAGGATGAAAAGAGTTAAAGGGATATTCCAATGTAAAATTAAGTTAGGGTCAAACACACCCTAACACCGAGTTACACATCCCCTTGAGAAATTAATGTTGCCGACTGCTTCCTTCTCTAGTTATATCAACTTCAGTAACGACCGCACGATAGCAATACACAGCGGTCTGAAAAGCCATAAACAAACCTCAACCCAAAAGCCAGCTCAAGGAAGAACATTTATGATTTATGTATCTTTGGAATCTCTGCCTTGTGTTTACTCAAAAGCTACTGTTTTTAGAGTAAAATCTGAATATATCTTTGCCAATTTGCTGGAATGCTCCTTTAAATGGATTCAGATGCATTAAGTACAGTTCTACCTTCAAAAGCTTGCAACCTCTGGCACATACAGTTAGTAATCGGTTCTGATTTGATTTAAAACATACATATCTGTGTTCGGAGACAGTTTTGAAGTGCTTCTGGGAAACTGAGTATTTCTGTCTGTGGTTTGGACCTACAGTGCACAGTTTGTGCTGCTCTGATGAAGGTCTAGCAGCTTCAGCTCTAACAGAGGACTCAGTCCTACTCAGTCAGTCAGTGAGTTTTTTTTTTGTGTCCGGGCCTCCTCTGATTCTTCTCCTCCTTTTCTCTGACTGTTTTCTCTACAGGATAGCTGTGAACAGCTGATGCCGGTGGGAGATTGGAAGGTATGATTTGAAGTGTTTGCTGCTGTTATTTTGGGAGCACTCCTCACTCGTCTCCTCACACACCATCTCCTCCCCTGGCTTCTTGACTTGTCGCCATCTACCTTTATCATTCTTTGTTTTTTTTATCTCTTCATGCTTGCTCACTTGAGTAATTTTGATGTCAGTGGAAGTTAACTGAGAGAAGAAAAAGTAAGGTAGAAAACAGATATCTGTGATAACACAAGGCTAAATATGAGGTTTTTCAATCTAAAATAAACTTTGTTTTATAACAAGAAGCAACTTACAGACCCTCCTCGGGACTATATCACAATGACATCACTATTAGCTGGAGGCAAATTGAAGTTAAACAGGAGTCCTAAACTGTCTTCTTTTAGTGTTACTGGGTACAAATACTGGGTGAAAATATGGGTTAATATTAATTCTTTAAAAACTATAATTTTACTGAATCATTTGTCACTACCAAAAACATGATGAGACAAAAAGACTGGACGCAGACTGGAGGCAGCTAACAGCTGATCCAGCCGTGATCAGCTTACTGCAGGTGGCTCTGTAGGAAAGGATGTCTCATGTCTCTTCTCTTAAATTTGCTCTTTAACCTGTGAATACTTGTGGTATCCAATTTAACATTTTTAGTTTATATTCTTGACTATCAAAAGGATGAACAGTACAGTTACTTACCAACCACTTTTTGTCACACAAACCAGTTTACCATCACTTGTAATGTCCTGGTTCACAAAGTACTTAACAGATTTGTGTTATCCTGTGCTTTAAAATCACAAAATAGCACATTTTCATAGGGACAAGTCTTCCTGTGGTCTAAGGCAAGCATATCCGGTGTATTATTCGACTTCAAGACTGTGCCTTAAAGAACTGCTTCAGTTCAGCTTGATGAGCATTACTTGGATAACATTTGTGTAATTTACCTTTAAAGCTTACAAAACCCACAAAATCTTATTAGCAGGATGTTAAAGGAGTGACTTTTAGTGATACATAAAAAAAAATCTGCAGATACATCCATCTGTTAGCACCTACAAATCACAATGATGCTACTTTGTTCAAGAGTGTGGCCAGCTGCTCCCTGAACAGAAGCTTATGCAAGCTTTTAATTACTGAGTAAGAGATGAGAATATCCGTTTAAAATAGTCAAAACATTTATGAAACTCAACAGAAATAATAATAGTAAAAAAACGTTCTCAAATGCCAACTTTATGGACAAATAACCAAACCAAGTATATGTGAAAGAACCTGTCATCCTCCACAACCCTGAAAACCAGTGTATAACCTTTTTCATGTATATGTGTGACAGAGTATTCGGGCCACAATGAGAAAAAAGAAAAAAAAAAAAGAACAAAGACTTTGCGATTTAAGTCGTTAATTTATGAGAATAAAGTCATTACTAATGAGAATAAAGTTGTAATAAAGTAATTAGTTATGAGAATAAAGTTGTTGTAAAATTATTACTTACAAGAATAAAGTCATTGTAAAATTATTACTTACAAGAATAAAGTCGTAATAAAATCATTATGATACTTATTATAATGTGGTGCTGATGTGCCAAAAGATTAAGTATCTCGTTGTTTGAGAAACCTATACTGTAGTATATTTTCACAAAATGCTTCATGGCTCTCATTTCAACAACTTTCATCTTAAACAACATCTTAGAATATAAGGACTTTATTCTTGTTAGTAATGATTTTATTACAACTTTATTCTTGTAAATAATTACTTTATTAAAACTTTATTCTCATAAGTGGTTACTTTATTACGACTTTATTCTTGTAAGTAATGATTTTATTACGACTTTATACTTGTAATTACTTTATTACGACTTTATCCTTGTTAGTAATGACTTTATCTCGTAAATTAATGACTTTAATCTCGAAATCTTCATTTTTTTTTATGTGTCCCTAATACTCTGTTGTTTATATATTTAAACACTTTATAATAAGTTTGTATCTCTTCTTTTCTCTGTGAATAGCAGAACATTTAAACTCATCAATTCACAAAGCTGTCCACTCTGCCATGACATCATTTTGTAAAGTTCTGTAATTTTTCTAAGAAGTCACACATTTAACAGCTGAGTTTATTTTAGTCAGACATATGCTGCGTGCCAGACAGGAGTGACGACATGATCCTCATCAAACACCTCTGTTTCACACCAAACCTCACACCTTCAGGGTCTTGGATTTGTGCTGAGTGTGAGGCAGTGGTGTCTGTGCTTGCTGGCTGCCAGGAAGACGAAGATAAAACCTTTTTCTTGTTGCTCATAAAACACATTAACTTTGTAACCATGACGAAATCTCTCGTTAGAGTTAGATTATCTCTCAAAGGACAGATTGCCAGTTCTTGTTAAATGAGGCAACATTTAGCTTTATATAAGTTTATATTCAAGGGCTCTCAAACATAAACTTTTAACTCAGCTGAAACATCTAGATTGATAGTGTAGTATCGACTCTACAGCCGTTATATAACCTCAACTTTACTGCTCTTTGTGGTGGTGATACTTTGACAGTGAACTTGGCAGAGACATACAGTGATAGGCAAAGCTGTTTCAGTGAAAACTTGGTAATACAGACTCTGAAATGCCTAAAATCTAGTTCCAACATGCTATTGGTGAATCCATTAACGGAAATGAAAAACTGTATAAACCATCAAAGTCATGTCTACATAGACGCCACATTGGCTGCTCTCCCACTTCTGCAGTGTCCACCACATTAGGGGAGTAGATCTGCTGTGTCAATGAATACAAATGGATGTGGAAACTGTGGATTTTGCTAAATGAAAGTACCAATGTGAATTCATTATTTTAATGAATTGATTTTATTCCCAATATCAATTTAAGTACTCATAATATGACAAAAAGCAAACCAAGTCAGCAAATCAAATTAGCTTTTTCTTTTGACAGTTATACTAAATGACAGAAAATTATAGATAGCTCTTTATATCTGACACATTTAATATGCTTCACAGTAAGATATGCCAGTACAACCTCTTATTTAAGTCAGCTGTCAATATTTTATCTGATTAATGTGAGGAAGAAGTGCTTGAGGCATTTTGACTGATTAAACAAGTGAGGAAGGTTTTTGTTCCCTCTTAAAATTATGAGATGAAAAGTGCAGATTTTTGCTGGTTAATACTACAGCCTATACAACAGGCTATTTCAAAATAAAACATCCCTTTATTTTGAATTGACAGACAGTTGAGTTATGCTCTTCAAAATCAAATGTAGGCAAGACTTGTCAAAGCATGACTTTCCCTTTCCCTTTATTGGTGGCCTGCAAACTAAAATTAAAATCAAAACAAGGCTGTATGAACACATGATAACTACAACATAATACAATTATGGAGAACGTCCTCATCATTTTGGTCTCCAAACACAGAAACAAACTGAAGCAGAGCAAAGAGCTGAATTTTGATCAGACCTCTTAACAGTATCAAGGTTGACTAAATCTTTCTCTATTATTCTTTATTATGAAGGGTAATTTCAAAGAGCTTGATTGAGGTCTTTCTCTGAAACATTTACAATAGTGAGACTGTTTTTCATCTACAGACTAGGCCTACTAACTTTCTAATTAACACATGCATTAAGCATGCTGCTTCTCTTCAAATTTTAATCTGTAGATAACAGGTTTTCTGCTAATAAGAGCCCCCTGTTTGTAGTGATTGGGGTCCATCAACCTAATAGTGTATTTAAAATGATGATTTAGTTCTCTAGAGTCTATGAGGATGAAAAGAAGTTAAATGTGGCTGTTTCCCATTGTCAGATTTACTGACGGTTCCCATGAACATGACCCTAATGTTACATTACCAAACTCTTCACATCAATGCTTCTGGACCTCTCCGACACGTTTCCGTTGTTGGTTCAGTCGCTCTTCATGGCTGTTCATAAAGCTTTGCCGGCAGAGACTGTATGTCTAAAATAGACGCAGTGATGCTGAGTCAGCAGAGAGCTAGTTAATCTCCACTGTTGGGGAAAAGAGGGACAGTCAGTCAGAGTGGCGTTTAAAGTTGAGTCAGCATACTGCGTGTTCTGTCAACAGGAAAAGAGAAGATAGATTGAGAGAGAAAAGAGGGGATCGAGGGAAAGAAAAGGGAGCGAGATAGGCTGGAAGAGGCAGGACAAAGGGCCAGGCTGCTAAATGACGGCAAAGAGAGAGACACTCTGGTGTGTGTGTGTGTGTGTGTGTGTGTGTGTGTGTGCTGCAGCCTGCATGGTTATTACTTTGACACCATTGCAGTCATGTGAATACGCACGTACGCAAACCCTCTGCAAACCTCACAGTTACATCTTCTTACTTCTACTGAAGATATATGTCAGTGTTTGTGGTGGAGTTACTTTTCATTTCAGAAATCCACGAAAAAAGAAATCTCCTCTTGGTATTAAGGGTTTATACACTAAAATGTTTTAAACGGGTCAAGCTTCTTGGATTTTTCACGTTTGAAATTGTAACTTTGATAACATGTTTTATTCATACCTACTATACTTTAATGACTCAGCAACTTTTGTGTGAATTTAAATGGACCTTTTCCAAACTTTGGGTCAGGACTCTAATGGGCCACCAGGCAGTTTGTACCAGTTTGCCAACTGGCAGACTCAGGCTTGGCACAAGCTAAAAGATAATTGAACCGATTATGGGCCCAATTCCCCCTTCTGACCAAAGTCAGCAAAAGCCCAATTACTGGTTGGCAAAGGATTATCTTTCCAGGTTATCCTTCAGTATAAGGAGTGTGTTTTCTTCTCTCTGATCTCTGTGAAAGACAACAGATCCTCCCTTCCTTTAAATACTGATACGTTCGATATTTACAATCAGAAACCCTGACTAAACACAGAAGCACAATAAAGGTAACTATGGCGATGATTTCAGTGTTAAGAGGCAGAAACTTTGCCAAAGATTTTAATATAGCATGAATATTTCTCTCTGTCCTGTTCTTTCCATTATAACAGTGTTCGTGAAGGAGGTGTGGGTGGAAGCAGTCTGAAACTGCTGTGTTTCTCTGCCTGCCCACGTCTAAATCTAATCAGGCTTAAGTGTTTGATTTGGTCTTTCTTTTTGCCCACATACTAATTTCACGCTCGAATATATTTTTCAACTGAAGCAAAAGATGCTTCCCCTTTTTATGCTGCAACTTTAAAATGATCCACAGTGGGAGCTGAGGTTCAGGCTCCTGATCATGACGCACATTTTCATCCCATGTTGCCAAACACTAAGCAAAGCCACATGATCGACTCTGAACCGTCTGTCTGTTTGGTAATTTTCAAGTTTAAAAAAATTTACAAAGCCCTGTGCTTTATATGTAAATGTTTAGGGAAACTTTGTTTCTTCTCTGAAGATGTTTAGGAGATAAGGGGAGTGATGAATAACAATAATTATGATAATGTTAAAACCATAGACTGTATATTCTATGGACAACTTGGTTCCGCCATCCGCCAGTATACAGATTTGAAGCTAAAAAGCTCTCTGTATTTCCGCGTTTTTTCTCCACTTCCTGAAACCAACATTGCGCAGTAGCATTGTACGCATTCAATGGGAGAGTCCCCGAGAGTCGCTGTGATGACGCTCGGCTCAAAGAGGAATTAAGCACAAACCAGTGATACCCAGGGATCCGTAACGGCTCCGCTCTGGACTGGCAGGCGAATCAAATATAGCATACCAACAGGATCCAATCCGCCGCTGCCATTGGAGGAGAAGCACTTGCGAGATTACTGATATTTCTCATGAGACTGGACGTGAGCTCATGAGATCTTACGTGTTGCCCTGTGAGACATTGAATGAGATCCACTGATTGGTGTATAAAAACATCTACATCCCACAACCCTGGCCTCTCCGATTGTAAAGTGAAGAACAGTTCAACGTATTGATTTTATTTTATTTTGGAAATTAACCAGATATTTTGTTCTGTAGCCGCATACAACTTCTGCTGCTGCTGCTTGTGCTGCGATGCACTGCGGCAAAAATAGAAGCCTTGTGTATCCGATCAACAGTGAAACTGGACAGCGGACGGATTGTGTGGAATCAAACACATTGATTATAATGCTTGCGTATTTGATCCGCCTGCTGTGCCGAAGCGGAGCTGTTCTGGATCCTGTGAGTTTTAGTCGTTACAGTAACTACGTGTCAACATTTACAGTAACTACATGTCAACATCACAACCAGGGGGGGGGGGAATTTATATTTTGTGTAATTAATTTCTAAAGTTTGCCCACAGCTCCATAGAGATCGCCGGAGGAGGCAGGATTTATGACCTATACTGCAGCCCGTCACCAGAGGGTGCTGTTCTCGGGGTGGCTTCACCCAGCAAGGAGGCAGATGACATCCATTCTATATACAGTCTATGGTTAAAACTCACAGAAGTGAAGAAAGGAAGTGCAATTGAAGTAAAGGATATATAACCCTCTTTCCAAAAAGTTGAGGCACTGTAAAAAAAAATTAATTGACACAAAATTTGGTGGTTTGCAAAGCATTTAACCACATTATTTAATCAACACAAAGACAACAAATCAAGTGTTGAAATTGAAAATCTGCTTTCAATTTCAACACTTGTCCAAATCCAAATGTTTTTAAGAAGTCAGGTCTGCAGGCAGGCCAGTTTAGGGACATGGACTATCTGCAGTAGAGTCATGTTGGTAAAAATAAGTTAGATTAGGTAGTTTTAACCTGCATTTGTGGTTGCATTAGTGAACAGTGTTAATAGACAATAGTTTTTGGAAGTTATTTGGGTCCATGTGGTGATTCCCACTAAAGAGTCTGGGGGAACGTCTTGAAGGTCGTCAACATGATTGCTGTTAAGAGAGCTTGCCAGGTGTAAAAACAATTACGATCAGAAAAATCTTGTGAAACAGTTTTCAGAAATTCAAAATGTGAGTCAAGATTGTGATTCCAAGAGAACGCTGCAATGGCTTCCTTGCTTGATGACCCAACTTCTCTTTGTGAAGTAGACACAAATCTGTGAGCCAGAGTTCAGCATGACCACAGAAAACAACATTTGCAGTGTTAAATGCAGTGCTGGATTGGTTTTATAAAAAAACAAAAGAAGAGTACTGAGCAGGTCGACGTTGCTTCATATTCAATGTTTGATGATTCAACCTGATTGTTACTTGCTGTTGTGTCAAGTTCTGTTCTTGCCGACTGCATGGATTAAACACTTCTTGTCCAGATTTGGCCTCATTATGTCCAAATCATGAACAGTAGCTGCTGTGTTTTTGCCAAAAAGCTGGAACATGTGAAGAGTGCTGTAAAAAAATCAGAAACAGATTCAAACTAGATCAGTGATGCTGATGAGAGAGAGCATACCATCAGACTACAGACTGACAAGACAGCTGACCAATCCTGTGTGAGGGAGGCAGCACTCTGAGCAAATCATCTCCAGCCTGCCCTTCACCCTGTTCGCTAATGTGGCACAAGGAGAACAGGGAGGGAGGGGTGGAGAGGGAGGGGAGGGGAGGGGGAGGCTGCAGCTAAGAGCTTAAGAGCCCGGGTGGGAATAGAGGCAGACAAAGACTCTGCGTCTGCAGCAGCAGCAGCAGCATCCACCATCCAGCTCCCCATCACTCAGCGAGTGATCACCAGGACCTAGTCCCGTTAAACAGGAGAGGCCTGGCTGCTCGTCTGCACACTCCTCTTTCTCCTCTTCTTCATCAGCTGAAAGAACAACTACTGAGGAGCCATGCCTGAGTGCTGGGATGGGGTGAGTGTGATAACTGTATGATAAACCCCAATGTGAGTCAATTCACTCCACAAATTGAAATGTGTTAGCAGCTGTGAATTTTTCTTTTAAATTCGCCTGGTATGATTTTGGAGCTGCTCATGTCTGTTTCATTATCTTAAAAGTGGGAAGTTTATCTTCTACTGCAAAAAAAAAAAAAAAAAAAAATCAGATCCAAATTTTACTAGCAGTCAACAAAATGTGCAATTTACTGCAGAGACTGTACGAAATGATTTGCATCAGTGTCTCCAGCAAAGAGGAAAAGTGCAGCGTCAGTGTCATTTGATGGGTCAGTCTGACTCTGGCCCACTGACACACTTAGACTCGCCAACATAGATGCAGTGCAATGCACAGATGGACGTACATCTGCAGAGCAACTTATAAATGTGTGTGTATATATGTGTGTGTGTGTATGTGTGTGCTTGGGTGTGAGGAGGGATTGTTAATCTCTCTGCAGCACCATCCATTTTGGCAACCTTGAGCTGCACAAGGTGTGAGTACAAATGCTAAGAAAGGGAGTGAAGGAAATGATTTATCATTTGTTTTTTCTGCTTGATATTCTCATAGCTGCACTGTGACGCAGTTGAGATTATTGCATTTTTTAAAACCTCAGGTCACCTTTAAGCAAATAAAACAAAAAAAAATCATGTTGCCCTTGAGCATCTTTGAAAGAATTCTTCTTTTTGGAGGATTTGGATTTGAGATTCATGCACCTGAAGGTCATGATGTGGGGGCTAATGTGTTTGTGAAATGTCTGCTCATGTTTACCAGAACTGCGGGCAAAGCCTCTGATGCAGTAACTGCCTCAAATTAGAAAGCTGATCACAGATAACACGGATGCCGCTGCCCAAGTAATAGAGAGATAATCTGGCTGGATTAACTCATAACTGCTGGTTGCATGACTGTGGGGGATTATGCGGAATTTTGGCAGCTGCACTGTTGAATCTATAAGTGCAGTTTCTTTCTGCACAGTGAGCCATTAAATCTCTGTAAGGTGCAGTCATGGTGATTGAGAATTTTCACATCTTCTTTGGATTTTAGTGATGTGTTGAAAACAAACTCAAAGGATGACGACTGTGATGAAGTTTATCAGAATAATCTTTAATGGCTTTAGTTTAAATTCAGGAACATAGCATAACACCTCCCTCTATCTCGTGTGTGTGTGTGTGTAAGATAGAGAGAGAGAGAGAGAGAGAGAGAGAGAGAGAGAGAGAGAGAGAGAGAGAGAGAGAGAGTTTGTGTTGTGCAGCAAATGGTAACACACTTCTCATACCTCCATTTTGAGTTTGGCTCTGACCAGTGGATGCTGACAAAATGTGGGTCATAACAAACGTGGCTGGATAAACAACAAGCCAAACACTTTGAGCATCTATTAGTATGGAGGACCAAAGCTGCAAAAACTGATAAACATATAAAATGACTTAAGAGTTCTCCTTACTATTACAGATAATTTAAATCTTTGTCAAATTCGTCCACCCTTAACTGTCTTCAGTATTGAAAGAATTCACAGGTGTTTTTTTTTTTGCACATCTCGGTGACTTCTTCACTTGATGTCAAATATTTCAGTGATTCAGACCTGCACAGACTGCAGATGTGGATGTTACAGATGTGAATGTTCTCACCAAACGACAGCAAACATTTAGGCTATTGTGACACACAAATTAAATATCTGTATCAGTCACAACTCCTTCATCATGAACCAGATTAAATGTTTTATTTTAAAAAGGGAGGGATCTGATATTTAAAGCTCCTGTGAGGGTTTTTTTGTTTATGATTAGAGAATAAAGGGATATTTAATTTGATGACTTATCATGATTTACAAAAGCAAACACGACAGTCACTAAACTATCACTAAACTTAACTATTTTACTCTTAATTTTTAACATCTGAAACTGATTTTTTTTACTACTACTACACTACTCCAGCATGTAGAGGACAGCATAAGCTAACTTGTAAATTCAGCTTAAATTTTAAAGACCAAAACAAAAGAGTGAATGTGAAACAACGGTGTGTAAACAACACTTAGTCTACCTTTATGCACTGACCTTTCAAGTTAATCTTTTTGGGATTATATAACTTGATTCATCTGAGATTAAAGTCTTAATTTAGCATTTTTGTATTGTGTCATAACATTTTCAGGCAGATGACCCAATATCCTCCTTTTCCAAACACACTTACTCAGAAATGGGAGTGACGCTAGATGAGTCAACCTGCACCAAAGAGATTTTATATTTTGGTGTTAACTCTTGTAGATGTGGACGAGTCAATTTCTGTCTAACATTGGCTTTATCTTCAGACCCAGAGACATTTTTTTATTCTGAATCCTCATGTGATGCTCGATTATTGAGGAGAGTGACATAATGAGTGGTTGTCCAATAGTCATCTATCAACTGTGCTCATACCACACTGTAATTACAGACTAATAAGCTGTCCAGCTGCAGTTAAAGACTGACAGATCAATAAAGAACATGTCTCTGTGTATAGACTATAAGCAGTGTTGGTTCTCTAATCGATAAAAATCACTCATGAATCTCACACTAAAGAGTGTTAACAAAAATCTTTAAACCTTTATTCATCCCACGGTGAGGGAAAAACGCGTTCATGTGTCACATCTCACAATGCAAAACAAGTGCGATCGTGCGTCAGTGAGATTTGTTATACCTGTCCGTCGCTTGTTTATCTTGGGAGGATTAGGTGCAAATGTTCCCACAGAAACATTTGAAAGTGTGTGAGGCAGCAGGTGAGTGAGGTGTGTGTTTGTGTGTTTTTACAGGAACACGATATCGAGACTCCTTATGGGATGCTGCATGTGGTGATCCGCGGGGCACCCAAAGGAAACAAGCCTGCTATCCTCACCTACCACGATGTGGGACTGAACCGTAAGTACTCATAGAGAATGTGTGTGTGTGAGTGTGTGTGAAGACATATGCTTCAGGTAAGGTGTTTCTGCACTCCTCATAGGTGATAATTGGCCTCTTTTTTTCATTTAGTCTTTCCAACCGAAGTGAAAACACGTTTTTTTTTCCAGTGCAGCGGGAAATCGATGTTTCCAGTGAGATAAAAAAAGCAGTTTCTAGAAAAAGTGTTCAATGAGTCATAAAAGTGCATAAAAAATTCTAAGTTTAACTATTTTAGTGCTTCTGTTGATATAAATGAACGGGAAAGATGGGAAAGTAAAATGTTTTTGAATTCACTGAATGGTTTTAAATGTCAAGTTTAAAACACCTAAATTTCATTTCACAGATACTCGATGAAAGTATGAATCTTTTCAAGAGCCTTTACTGAACAACTGATGGGTTGAGATTGCTGAAATGAGGTTAAACACTCTTAGGATGTCTTTTTTTTGTGAATTTTGTTTGATTAAAAACACTTTTTGGATCACAAACACATAAATGTCAAACTCAATGTCACATCCAACATAAGTGTTGACTGCAACAGTGTTCACGTCAGGTAGCACTCTCTATACCCAGGATGAGTGTTGGATAATTCAATAAAGGGAAGATAATCAAATAAGCATGCGTATATGCGAGGAAGGACACAGACGTATGGAGGTGGAGGGATGAAAACAGAATAAAAACAAAGAGAGAAGGAGGTCTCTGGGGGGTGGTTCGTTCTAACGTGTGATGTGTGTGAACCAAAATAGAAATGGGAATAGATGAGGAGGCAAATGACGAGTGAGTATGTGAGGCATCGATGAAATGTAGGTCAGAAAAACATCCCCGTCCTGCAGAGGGAAGCGGGGCGGGGCCGGCAGCACTGCGGCGCTGTGTGATGGGTGGAGGTGGGAGAGTGATGGTGGGGGTTTGGAGGATAGTGTGTCATGAACCAAAGCTGATCCATACAGCTCTGCAGACTGCAGAGATCTGCCTTTTGTTGTTTGCTTACTGCCTTTTTATTGTTATTATTACACCAACACTGATTTTCTTTTCTTTCCTCATTTTCCAAAATATCCCATAGAAAACAACCCACCTTCGTAAAAACACACAAAAGAAATGAGGAATAAAGACAAAAATAACAATAATAATTAAATAAGGTGTTAGTTATATCTGATGTATAATGTGATGGGCTTAGAGACTTGTGACGGACCTGAATGGAGTCGGCATTCTGCTGCTGCAGCAGATTCAGGAGACCATTAGTATTCATGGTCTGTCACTAAATCACTGGAGTGTGGCGCATCATTGAGGACGGGCAAGGAGAGCAAAAGGGATGAAAGGAGACGCATTAGGAAAGGACACAGAGGAAAAAATGAAAGGGGGTTTATTTTTCTAAATTAATGACTCCATATCAGCAGATTGCTCAGCTTTTTGCCAGTGCCTTGATGAGAATACACAAACCAAAGAGGAGGAAGAAGGAAAAAAGAGAAAATAACACAGATGAGACCTGAAAGGGGAAAGCAGAGAGATTCAACAAAGAGAAGCAGAGGGATGCTAAAAAGAGAGAGAGAGAGAGAGAGAGAGAGAGACAGACAGAAAGAAAGTAACAGTGGGGGAAAGTAGGTCACAAAGTCAGTTGGAGTGCAGACAGCGAGGGTCGACCAATGATTCAGCGCGTAGAGCAGGAGAGCGTCTCACCTCTGTCCTCACATAGCATCCCTATTTACACAAACAAGCTCTGAAACTGGCACCGTGCAGCGCAGTGCACAGCAAACATTCCTCCGTCACCTCCCCTGACTCTCCCTACTTTTCATCTCTAACCCAGTTGTCATGATAATTGGCCCATTTAATTAACTCACCCGGAGCCCGAGGAGGAAACAATGTTGCTGCGCGGTTTCACAGAGCGTGACACACATGAGCTGAAAGTAGGACAACTGCAGAGCCAGTGGGAGGAGGGCAAACGCAGAGCTGACATTTATTATACATGAAGCTATTTCAAAGTGCGATGTTTGAACTTTTCTACTCTGATTCTAGAGAGAGAGAGATCCTTATTTTAGAGAAACCTTTGGTGAGTAACTCAAAATAGATCAAACTTCTAGTTCCTGAGACAGAGACGATGTCTTTAACTGAAAATATGACCTCTAATCCGGCTGAATGTTAGACAACTCACAGCATGTTGTTGTGAAGAACTTAATTACACAAGCAGTGAATCTGACCGCTAATATTCCTCTTACTGATCTTAACTGGCGGGCTGTTGAAGGGGCTTATTTTTAACCTTTAATAGGGACTTTGAATGAGAATATATTCTCAATTCTTAAAAAATAAACTTATCAAGCTCTACTTTTTTTAGCCTAAAACCAGTGGACACAAGTCAGACTATCAACGTATCTAAAAAACAAATTAGACTAATGCTGTTATTCAAAAACCTGGTATGAAGGCAGTGTTTACGATGAGCTTTGTCATACTTTAATTTGACAGATTGGAAATGCAGTTTGGCCAAGTAAACAGCTTTAAGACCTTTTTAACATTATCCGTGTTGAATTTGCTCTGAGACATCTAGAAGAAGTTAACCCCAAGTAGAAATAAGATTTTTTTTAAATTATTATTCAAAGCTATTTTTTCCTATTTGTCCTTTACATCATTGCCTGAGGACCACGAAACAAAGAGAAGATGAAGAATAAGCAGCAGCTGCAATCTAGCTGTAGCAGCTCTCAGACAGAAGTCACGTTTACATGTGCAAAATTTCTTGATCTGATTAAAAATTTGAGGGATCGGATAATCTGAATACACTGTTTATATGGGTGCAAAATCAAATAATCAGATCATAACGTGCGTATACATGTACCAACCTTTATTCAGGTTAGAAGCATTTGGACATGCGCAGAATTGTCTGATTTCGCTAAAACAACAGCAGCAGAAGAGTTGTATTTACGCCTGTGCTGTCAACAAACCAACAAACCAACAAATGCGGTAGTGGCTCACTCCATCCAATTTCCCACTGTTAAATGTTGTCACTAGATGGCGCCCTTCCGTTCTTATTTTTGTGTTTTGTCATGGGCACATTTCGGAATAACGATCGGAATAGACCACCCCTCTTGATCAGAATAAAATTTCTTTTAAGTGAGCTGAACTGGATCAGAATCTTCCGATCGCCATGCTTACATGACACATTTTTATTACGATCGCACATTTATTTCGATTATTTGTGACCATGTAAACACTGCTAGTGGGTCCAATGTTTTTAAACTGATGTTCCAAGATGTGCCATGAATCTGAAATGGCACAAGAGCGCGCCTCTTTGGGGTGCTACTGAGTTAAACACAAATATTTTTCCACTGCTCTTTGAGTTGTTTTTACTCAGTCCAATAACATGAAAGTTCAACTTACGAATCGTAGAGAAAACACTGGAGAACTCAGGGATGAGAAGATGCCTGAAGAGAAAGACGCCATGAACCAACAAAGACAGAGGGGGAGCTCAGGAGATAAATACACAAAGAGAAATCAAACACAGGTGTGACACAAGACACAGGTCAAACTAATTAACATCATGAAAAAAGAGGGAAATGCTAGATTTGACACAATGAAGGACTATAAAATAAAAGAGAAATATTAGACACATGACACAGGATACAACGACAACTGCATATAAATGTGATGACACAAAGTTAAACGACAAAATAAACCAGGGACGCAGGACAAGACAGGAAAAAGTACAAAACAAACACGACATCACACACAGGGGCTGGTGGCAGAGATACAACATGACTCTGACCATTATTACCTCCAACCTCTTCTCAGTTTGATTGATATTGCGTCAGTGTCATTGCTTTGGTTTCATAACGGTCGTGATAATCCTGATGGGTTGACAGTCCACAGAGTCAAAGTCATTCTGCCGTTTCCCTCTGAAAAAATGAGGGTTAAACAAGGTAACAGGTCAGCTTGAAGCAGACTTGATTTCTCCTTCTGGCACAGGATCAAGTGTTCAGATGGTCACCCTTAAGGTCCTCTGTGAGTGTTTAAGGGTTGATGTAATCACTTTTCCTGCTCTGTCCTTCATGCCCTCCTCATAATTCCCCCTCTCTAATCTCCATCCTGCAGACAAGCTGTGCTTCAACACTTTCTTCAACAATGAGGACATGCAGGAGATCACCAAGCACTTTGTGGTCTGCCACGTGGACGCTCCAGGACAGCAGATTGGAGCATCTCAGTTGCCACAAGGGTAAGAGCTTACATACAGACAGAGACAAAAACACACATGCGTGGACAATTTACCATGAAAAGACTTAAAAACAGAGACCAGTGTATAAACTATTCTGTTTTACAGATTTATATATTAATATAAATTTTCAGGGGACCAGCAGTTTGATGATGTTTGAGGTACAAGAAGTACAATCTCATAAACCTTAACTTAACATGAAACTAAGAAATCAATTTAAAGGTGTTTTTGGACCAAATTTTTTTTCTAAGTTTTAATTTGATCAAGAATAAGAAAAATATCAAAGTTGTAGTATTCATGCCAAGTTTAAAACAAATGTGAGGAGGAAATTATTTTATAAGAAAATGTAGCATTTTTGAGAACTTTGTTGTCATTTTAAAAATGTTATTTCACCTTTGATCATGATGTTAGACTCAAGTCTTAAATTTTGGCTTAGTTTACAGAAAAAAAAATCCTCTTTTTTGCCGACTTTGATTTATTTATGCTGGCTTTTAATACGCACTAGTATAGAGACACTATTTTATTGCATTGTATCTTATTCTTTTTTTATTGCTTTCATTGCCTTCATTGATTTTATTGCTTTTTATTGTTTTTATTTATTCGTTTTTATTTACTTTGTATTGTAAAGCACTTTGGTTCACTTAAAAGGGTTGTTTTAAAGGGCTGTATAAATAAAAAACATTTATATTTACATTTAATTCTTTGAAATATGAAGAAAAAAAATACTCCAGTTCCCCCCCTTTTTCGCCCTGAATTCTTGCCTTTCCTTGATTTACTTAGTTTATACATTAAACATAAACGTCAGCGCATTGTGATTTACATGTTCGGTTGCACTATCATGTAACCTGTGTGCTCTCCATCTACAGGTACCAGTACCCCACCATGGACCAGCTGGCTGGGATGCTGCCCACCGTGGTGCAGCACTTTGGGTTGGTGGTCTTTGTCTTTCAAATCCGCTTGATCCACGTGTATTCACAGAGCAGACACAGCCGTTGTTTTGATAGAGCCATCTGCAGGCCCATCATGTCCTCTTTCTACTTACAAGCTGGCAGGAACTACATGTCTCTTTTCTACATCCGCCCCCTTGTGTTACAAACATCAGCAGTCCACCACACCAGTGCTAACACCATTGTTCAAAATGATGATGATGAGAGTTTTAGTAAAGTTCAGGAAGACTTACAAAAAGTAATATTTGTTACATAAATATGCATCACTATTGTTGTACAAAATCTTATTATTTAACTTTTAACATAAAGTCTAATGGACAAATGACTTTTTATAGATTCAAGAGCATTGTGGGGATTGGAGTTGGAGCTGGTGCCTACATCCTGGCCAAGTTTGCTGTGAGTCACTCTCTTATCCCGATACTCTTATCATGGACTATATTTTGCACACCGTATTTTACATGCCTCCGTCTTCTGTTCTCTCAGCTGATCTTCCCTGACTTGGTGGAGGGGTTGGTTCTGCTCAACATCGACCCAAATGGCAAAGGCTGGATCGACTGGGCTGCCACCAAGGTACCGAGGCTGCGTACTGGGGCTGTGGATGGGTTCACGTTTTCTGATAAATCCACATTCTGGTCCTCTTTGTTGTACTCACAGTTCTCTCTGTTTTCTCCTCAGCTGTCAGGTCTTACCAGTGCTCTGCCTGATACTGTTCTGCCACATCTTTTCAGCCAGGTATTTAGACAGTTATTTTTCACTTTTTCTGCTTCATACAGAGAGACTCAAAGGGATTAGCCTTACAAAATACAGATATGTAGCAAATAAAACAATATTTGGATGAATCATTTCACTCTCTAATTGTGAACGTCTTGCCTCACTCTTAGGTTTATATTTATTTTTTTCATCTCAACAAATATTCTGACTCAGTCTGTGTGTGTTTCTTGCAGGAGGAGCTGATGAACAACACAGAGCTCGTACAGAGCTACAGGCAACAGATCAACAACACTGTCAACCAGTTCAACCTGCAGCTTTTCTGGAACATGTACAACAGGTGAATGTCTAATCTCTGACTTTTACTCTGACTCATACACACCAAAACAAAGATGCACTTTATCTTGACATTTATAATTCTCTACTCGCAGCCGGAGGGACCTGGAGATGAATCGCAGTGGGACAGTGCTCAACGCCAAGACCCTGAAGTGAGTCTGTGTAAAGAGTGTCATTATAAAACCCCTAAAAACTAACGAATGGACATATTTTTAGGACATCATCTAACTTATAAGCTGTGAGGAACTTCACTATTGGCTTGACTTGATATTGGTGCCTCTTATCTGTTGTCCTGTTAACTTCAAACTTATTCGAACTGTTTCATTTGATATGAGTTTGTGTTGTGTACAAAGTCTAGTAACCCTCACAGCCCTCACAGTGTTTTCACACATTAAAAATTACTACAGAAAAAATGATCAGACTTACTCATGATAGCATTTTTTGCTTTTAATGAGAAGGCATCATTATCAGTTTAAGTCTGTTCATTGAATAAATAAACACGTCCTTTAGTAACTTTAAGCTAAATCGAATTTTGAGGTTTTGGACATCAATGAAATAGACAGAAATTTGTATTGAAATGTTAAAATATCTAGAAGTAAACAAGGCCATCAGAAACAAAGGTGATGATTTCTGTATTGAATTGACACAATCTGATTGGGTCGTCACTGGAGCTTTGAATGAATGAATGACTGTCTGTGTGGCAGTCTCAAAACAAATCAATAATCTCAATGTTCCCACAGGTGTCCTGCGATGCTGGTTGTAGGAGACAATGCTCCTGCTGAGGAAGGAGTGGTGAGTCCTCCATGTCTTTGCACTTGCTCTAAAATCGAACAGTTTCCTGTCCAGTCAGCCACCCTCCTTCTCCAGCTTTTTCTTACTCACATTTCTTCCTTCAAAGCGGTCCTTCTTCCTAGAAACAGGCTATCTAAATCTCTGAATACTGAACCCTCTCACTTGCCTCTGTTCTTGCTCTCTTGACTCATTTGTACTTGGCATGAAAACCCAGTTAGTTTGTTCTCATTCAGTAAAACAGAAACAGGTCAGCCAGCAGAGACTCGGTTCACTCTGCTGCACCCCAGGGACTCTGTGTGTGTCTGTTCTCTCTCTGTCCATCCATCTGTGTATTTGTGTGTGCTATGCTTGTCTTTGATACTATAGGTGTGTGTCTGTGTGTGTGTGTGTGTGCGCCAGTGTGTTCTCCGGTGGCCAGATGGCCTCACTCTGTCTCTGGGGTTTCCTAGTTTGAAGTGGCCTAGATATTTATGCTTCTGCACCAGTTAATCTGCTCATATAAAAATTGAAATCAAATCAGTCTTCTGTTGGATGGAGAAATGGGATAGAGGTGCACCAAGGGAGGGCGGGCTGAGCGCTTGTTATAAAACATCTTCGAGAGACAGAGAGATGGAGGGATGGAGAGTGACAGGGAAATGAAGGGAAACAGTGTGAGGAAACAAGACACATAAACTGCGGTTGTTTTATTGGATGTGACAGATGGAGGTCATGTTGATATTTTATATCCGCTCGTACGACCGCTTCAAGCTGCTGCGTTTGCAACCACTTAAATGACGCACATTCCTTAACATAAACAGAGAGAGACAGAGAAGATAAATGTGTCCAGAGATGCAAAAAGTGTTTGACTTACATGTGCTTACTCTACAACTTATTCGCAACAGTTTTTTTAAATGTTACATTAACATGTAGTTTTTATTCGTGGTGTTTCATGGTATTTTAAGTATTAATACCATAGACTGTATATATTATGGACAACTTGGTTCCGCCTCCTGCCTGTATACGGATTTGAAGCTGAAAAGCTCTTGGTATTTCTGGGATTTTTCTTCATTTCCTGAAACCAGCGCTGTGTAGTACCGTTGTGCGCACTTGGCCGGCGTATCCCCAGGTGAGCTACACAATCCCTGAATGCCCATAGGCTGTATCAGGTGTCAATCAAAGAAAACATGAACCCCCTAATAACTTTTAAAAACGGAGCTTCACAGAAAAAAGAGGACTTGAGCACAAACCAGTCTTACAATAACTACATGTCAACATCACAAGCAGGGGGGAGAAAAATTTATGTTAATAAATAACATAACATAACAAATAACAAAGTTTGTCCACAGCTCCATAGGGATTGCTGAGGGAGGCGGGATTTATGACCTTTACTGCAGCCCATCAACAGAGGGTGCTGTTCTCAGAGTGGCTTCACCCAGCGAGGAGGCAGACTCTGTCCATTCTATATACAGTCTATGATTCATACTCTCCATGTTTGGGCTGCAAAAAAATGTATTTTGGCAGTCTGTTGAGGGATTATAGATTAAACACAGCAGGAAGCTGCAGAGAGCAAAAACATGCCGGTGTTTATGTGTCCACAGGTTAGAGCTGTCATGTGGTCATGTATCTGTAGACAGCTGTAGAATGTGTGTGTGTGTGTGTGTGTGTGTGTGTGTGTGTGTGTGTGTGTGTGTGTGTGTGTGTGTGTGTGTGTGTGTGTGTGTGTGTGTGTGAGTGAGTTAGTGAGTGAGTGCACACTGCGGCTCTCAGCCTGCTGAAGTGACTCATCTCTGCAGCACACTGCAGTATCTGGGTCAAACACTCACTCAGACTCAGGCTTATATGGTCTCTCTCCATCTATAATCTAAGGATACTGAACACACCACGCCGTTCTCCTGCTGTGTGCACGCTGTAGACATAGACATTTTTATTACTGCAGTATTTGTTGTCCATATTAAGTTCAACATGCTGTTTTTCTTTCTTTTTTTTTTAGGTGGAATGCAACTCAAAACTGGATCCCACCAACACCACCTTCTTAAAGGTAACTCTTCGTTCTTATCTGATCCCCAGCATGCAAACTGTGCAGTTCAATGCAGTCCTATCAAACTTGAATTAAGCATTTTGAAAATATTCTACTTTTATTATCTTGCAACAATAATTAATAAGAGCTAGACTGAGTGTGTTTATTTATGCTTTGGTTTGGCTGAGCAAAAGGTTTAGTTCAGATCAGGAAAAATAATCCTAAATTAAAGCACGTGTGTATGTATTAACTTAAAGCTCCTGTAGGAGATTTTAGATGAACTCTCCCACAGACTTAGACAAATTGAAATGAATTATTATGTCTTCTTTTAAAAGCAAACAAAACCATGAATTAGAATAATGATGAAGTTAGTTCTGATGTCTATAAAACAATGACGGGGCGTAAGATGTCAGGCCTTATTTTCATATGTTACATTTAAAGTGAGCAGGGTGAGAATCAGTGTCATCAAGTGTGCATTAAAAAAACTAAATTGGCAAAGATAACTACAACCACAGGGGGCGCCAAAAATTGACATGAAGCAAATATTCCTCACAGAACTTTTATCCATAAACTAAAACAGACTGTTGGTTTCATATGGGAATTGAATTTAAGTCACTTGTACCCATGTTTGTGCCGCAACAGTTGCCAGCAAAAGACCTTTCAGTCGTCATTTTACAGTGTTTTATTTTTATTTCTTTAATTTATTCTGATAAATATATACATATTTTTGCTCCTCATTCTACACTCTACACATTTTACATCCTTTTGGCTAACGCTGCTCTTTCTTCTCATGGCAGATGGCTGACTCTGGTGGACTTCCCCAGCTCACACAGGTAACACACAGTCACACAGATTTCAAATTCATTAGTCTGCCCAATAGTCAAATGAAATGTAAAACTCAAACAGATCTCACATGCATCATTTGTTTGTGAATGTCTTTTTATTTAAATAAAAAATAGTAGCATTAAACACTCATATTTTGTTTTGTAGCCCGGCAAGCTGACTGAAGCCTTCAAGTATTTCCTGCAGGGAATGGGCTACAGTAAGTATATGTGAAAAAAATATATCATTATACATGTTTGTTCATGTGTTTCCCCTTGAAGTTATTCTGAATTCAAAGTTGTATCCACATTGGTAATGTCTGGGTGTTATGTGATGTACAGTATACAATGCAGAGGGACTTGAGTTGTGATAATCTTGCCCTCTGTCTCCCCTGCCCTGTTCTCTCAGTCGCTTATGTGAAGGATCGGAGGTTGAGTGGAGGGCCAGGTACTTCCTCCTCCCCGTTCACCTCTGACCTCTTATTGCTGCCCAGTTTGATGACATTGGCATTTTCAAATTTTTACTTTCATCCCTTTTTTTTAAACAATATTTTTGGCTGTTTTGAAAGTTTTACTTTTGCTATCATTTCCTGACGGACATCAAACCACATCTGAGTTTTTTTTTTATTGGAAAATAATTTTTCCTCACATGGAAAAATATATTGCTGTTTTCCCTCCCCCCATCCCTTTGCCATTGCATCTCTGATATTGCTCTTTGCATGGCCTTGAGTTAGCTTTTAACCAAGCCTTTTGAATGAGGTTAATTTCAAATGAGCCTGTCTTAAAACAAAAAAATTAGAACAATTAACATAGCAACAAATTCAAGGTATTTGGATTAGTTGATGTATTTCGAGTTGTTAGTATGATCTTGGAAAATCCAGGTAACAATCTTTTGTCAGTTTACACAGTAAAAGCTCTTAAAACAGTTAAGAAGCAGCAGTTTCTTACACATTTGTATTATGAAGTCTTGGAGCTGGAGGTAAATGAGACTGAACGTACTGTACTGAGCCCTGAGTTTCTCCTGTGCATGATGCCAAAAATGTGTTTCCATGGAGACACATTTGCAGCTTCAAAGAGCTACCTTCACCTCTTACAGCTGTAATGCGAGCCACAAAAAAGAAATACTCTTGAGTTATTCGCACTAGCATGTACTTCCCATATTTCCCAATATCATCCTATCACACAGGTGTTTAATGAAGTGCCATGTTTGATTGTTTCCTCCTCTCCTTCTGTCTTGTTTGTCATAGTGCCCTCTGCCAGCATGACTCGCCTGGCTCGCTCCAGGACAGCCTCCCTGACCAGCGCCAGCTCCATGGATGGCTCCCGCTCTCGGGCGTGCACCCACTCTGACAGCAGCGAGGGAGTGGGGACGGTCACCCAAACAATGGAGGTGTCCTGTTGAGGACTTAGACTGCCATAGAAAGAGAGAGGAAGGGGGTAGAGAACCAGAAAGAGGGTGAGGGAGAGATGACAGTACAGAGGAGATGGGCTGGGTGGATTCAGTCAGACATGGAGGAGTAAAAACAAACAGTATTAAGAAGAGAAACGAGATCGAAGAGCTCTTTCTGTCTTCATCTATTTCCCCCAGATCTCTTTGTCCGCCACCATCTTCCCTCTCCACTGTAAAATACCATATGTATTACTGCTAACACCCTCAACCACTCCGTCACCCAGCACTGAAATATTTAGGCCTCTGTTTTATTCTCAAAGTGTCACTCTTGTGTTTGCTAAGTGTCTCCTTATCCCCCCCACACCCTTTTTTTACCCCTCCCCCAACATAGACACACAAGAAACAGTGTCGAAAACAACAACACACTGATTTACCATAATAAGCTGCTTTTGACTGTGTAATGTGAGAAATAGCAAAGAAAGTGAATTTTTTTCTGAGGGTCAGTAATGACAGAGTTGTGCAATGCTGAACTTCATTTAGCTTTGGACCAAAGCGTACGCTAAATGTAGTTCTAACATTGCACCAGTTTGGAAGGTATGTATTATTTTGTTGTATGGACAAAAGGTGAGTATCTCTCTCGGTGTCGTTTATAAGGATGGTAACTTCTCTCCATGAATGACAGGTGAGCACCAGGTGGGGTGTGTCGACACTTACAGATTGCAGAACACAGCCAATTGTAGCCGAGTACACCTGTAGTGCTTAGAGAGAGCTTATAGTCGAAGAGTTTAGCTAGAGTAAAACACACTCATTTAAAGCTGCACTTGGTAATTTTTTATTTTACATCTTTAAACTGCAACAAAAATGCAAAATGATGATATTTGAAAAAGGCCAAGGTGTATCAGACATTAGTTTGAACCTGGCTAGAACTTTTTCTTCATCAACTTTGGAAAAGTATCAAAAATCCTGATATGATTTTTCATTCTATTGATAATAATTAGTGAGTGCCACTGCTGTAAATCGAGCAGGAGTCGAAAAAGCTTTCACATTACAGTCAAAGATTCCTCAGGTTGGTACAGCACAGCAGGTTCTTGACTATAAAGACTATAAAGAGTAATGTTTGTTGGGTTTCTCTTACTGTTCTCTCTCCACTCTGATAATCCGGTGCACAGCACTGCAGGAGCCCAAATCGGTCCAAACAGCTGTCTATCAATCACAGATGAATTAAATAACCCGACTAATCAACACGTCTCAGAAAATAAAAAAAACAAACACTTGGATATATTTGCATGTTAAAAACTAACTTTACTGACAGGAACCATGTTTTAAAAGCATGTTTTCCACATTAATGTTCATTGAATAGTCTGACCATGGTTTCAACTGTTAGGATTGTAAGGGGCAGGGTTCATGACCTATACTGCAGCCAGACAGCAGGGGGAGCTCTTGCTCTGGCTTCACAGTCTATGAAAACTTCTGGCATTTTTTGAGTGTATGAGGTCTATTTTTCAGACAATCACAAATCCACTGGTCATGAACAGACCAAAACTGAACCACTGCACCACCAGGATGGTCCGTCTGTTTCACTGTTTTGGCCTAATGATGTAGAGACACTATGGCCAAGGAGAAACCAAACTACTATTTGAATGATTTTTAATTTTTAGCAGAATGACAATCTGATTTGTAAGCATGCAGTCTGTTTATTGTTTCGTATCAATTATGCATAATAAATTCAATCAATGTAGCTAATGTAGCAGGGACATTTTAATGGATTACACAGTTAGCATGCAGAGCAGGAGTTTACCTGAACTTCTTTACGAGCGGACAATCACTCACCTTTGATTATTTTTTATGAAATCTGTAATCTTGCAGATTAGAGTCTTTAACTACTAAGGATTTTTCAGAATGCACCACGGTGTGCTAAATAGCCTCTGAATGTTTGTAGTCTATGTAGCATGTTAAGTGAGGAGTAAAGTTATGCCTGGAAGAGTAATAGTATTCACAGTAATGTCTACTCATATATGTAGTATAGCGAACTCACACCACACTAACCAGAATACTACTGATACAATAAACCACCTTTTATGTGGGCGGTAATGATCCAGAACCAGACTACGTTGAATGGCTCATCCAGTTTAAGTTTTGGGAGTGAGTCATGAGAGCAATGTTGCCAAGTGCAGCTCTAAAATGTGTGTTGTGTCACATTTCTAAGACAACCCATGACATGAATCTAGATTAGAAGAGGTATCTATTGAATCTTTATGCATGTGAATGTGACAGTAACCTTAGGGCATTTTAGTATCAGTGTAGTGTCTAGCATTAGGGCGTTCTTCATTAGCAAATCATTGTGGCTATAGTTAAATAGAGCCGTGGACGCAACCACCATCATCAGTCTGAAACTCCTGTGTAAGTTTCTGGCCGACAATCATACTCTGAACCAAAACAAACCAGACTAGGGGTACCGAGGTAGGACCAGAATGACCCTGCAAACTGTCCGTGGATCAGCACCAAAGAGCTCAGTGTAGACTTCTCTCACAGTGCAGAGCCCCTCTCCAAAGCTCACACGCATGCAGAAGTATCCACAACCGTACATGTATCTCGTGCACATACGCATTTCACATTCTTGTAGTAAAGAAGATGAGCTTTGCTGGAGAATGAATCCAAAGAAAACACTTACACAACATAATGATCAAAAGGAAATCCATTGCAATGTGGTTAGATTGTGTTTTGATGTGCTGTGTAATCATTATCTCTCCACTTTAGTCGACGTCTAGACATAGAGTTTTAGACTAGTGAAGCTGTGTGCTGTTATCTGCTAATACTGACCCACCTCATCTCTGGTGATCAACAATGGGGTCTCCTGGTTTTCGGCTTAGTAATGTACAGTATTCATGTATCATAGTCACCTCGTCCTGTCTGAAGTTTTTTCAAAAACACCCTTTGACCCCCTGTCCGAAGGGGCGTAGCTTCCAATCGCTGAGGTGTGCGTTTCCCTGAGGTGGCCTGTAAGGGGCGGGGCTTTTTTGGAGCCATTTGGGCGCCAAGCTCAGAATGTAGGGCAAACCCCAGCCACCTTAAAAACAACCCCTTTCCCCTAAAAAATCATAAGGTGCCCCGGCACTCACAGGCAAACCCAGTCGCACCCTAAAGGGCTATCAGCTGAAGTCACTTTTTAAATGTTGGTAGAGTTAGACGAAGCACCAGGGGGCCGCAGAGAGGTGGGTGAGGGAACTTTTTTTTTCATTCCATCATGGAGAGAGAAAATTACCAACGACACTGAGAGAGATTCTGGACAGAAGATGGTGAATGAATGAATGTTTATGGGAAAGAATGTGTTAAAGCCGAAGCTGGAGAGATTATTGTTGAGTCATTTGAAGTATCTGAAAAAGTCCAACTTGAACAAAAGTCCTGCTATTTGGAGAGGAGCGATTATAACATTATTTACAATCACATCCTAAACACCAGTTCCTTTTCTTCGAACCTCATGGATGAAATTCAGGAACGCTGGAGTTTGCATGTAGCATACACAACAGTCTTTCAGTGATTTCTCTCTTCACAAAGCTAATTTTTGCTATCTTCACTTTGGTTTTCCTCCTACACAACTTCTATCCAAACTGCCTGGGGGCCCCTGAATGTATTTTGTCCCTTTTGAAGTGCTGTACAGTATTGTCAACCTACGCCTCTCTTTGGTTTGCACATTTGTTCCCCCCCCTACACATCTTCGACATCTAACCCCAAAAAGAAAAATTCCTCCGCCTTCTTGTTCATCTTAAAGGTCTATTAAAAGAGGAGTTCAGTAGCGATTTGTGAGAGTCCACAGTAAGCTGGCACTGATCTGGTTTGTACAGACCTTGGTCCTCCTTGCACTTGTAGATACTTTTTATTTATAGAGCAGGTTACCAGAATCTAACCCTCTAACACTACTGTATCGTGTAAAAACTTCAACATCTTTCTGTTTCTCTCTCTCCTTGGAGTTTCTGTTTTTTATAGACAACACTAGAGTGTAACTTCATATTGGTATAATATTGATTCATGTGTACTGCTACTTTTCTTCTTTTTACTGCCATCATGATTGATTTGTATTGAGCAATAAGTTCTCTTTAATTCTCGTTTGGATTGTTTCATATTGTGGGAGTCTCCCCTATGAGCTTGTTTCTTTCACAACAGTAGAAGGACTCTTACCTGCTTTGTTGTCATTCAAATGTGTAATGTAAAGTTTGAATATATTCTATATATTAATACATATAACAAGTAAGCTGTCTCTGTCCATGTACTGATCAAGTAACAAGTAAGAAAAAAATAAAGACTTTGTCTGAATTTCAGGAGTCAGGTGTCAAGTTATTTACAGTCATTATCATTATATTGGTGAACAGTTTTTACATTAGCTGTGACTGCTCTGATATCAGTTTGGATCGCACTCATTTGAACTTTTACCGCTTAAATTTTTTTTCCTCATCTCACTTAAGTTTGTGCTGCTGTTGGTTCATTTTGAACAGTTTTTATTCCAGCTTTAAGTCTACAAATTTGTATTTATTTATTGTTTATCTTATAGAGGCAGTGCAAATTACATGATGCAAATTCTGCCTGTCATAAACAAGCTTTAGTTATTCATGTAGTGCACGCACAATATCATTAGCATAATTTCTGTTGGTAACACTTTAAAATAACCATAACATATAAATGGTAAATAAACCTTTTATAAATGATAAGCAGATAGTTTATTCATGTTAATCATAATTTATAAATAGCATATAGACCATTAATAAATTGTAAATTTTACAATTTTAAAAACCTAACCCCAACCCTTACTTTACAATAACCATCAAAGTAATGTTCATAGGTGGTTTATAAAACAAATATTAACCATTTACAAAGTATTACAAACATAAGTTGCAACTTTACAATAACCATCTAAGTAATATTTATAGATGATTTAAAAAACAAATATTAACCATTTACAAAGTCCTACTGACACACATTTTAATCTAGATGTTTTATGACCAATATTTAAACCCTATATAAACCTTTAATCAATAGTCCATTAATAAACATGATTCAATTGCTTGTTAATGGTATAGTAACTATTAACTTACATTAATAAACTATCTATTTGCCATTTATAATTGGTCTATATGCTGTTTTTAAATTATCATTAAATATTATTTATAAAATATGGTTATTGTAAAGTGTTACATTTCTGTTTTGAGATCCTGTTTCCTGTGTGGTTTGTGTGCTTTTCACTTCACATGTTCCAGAGGCTGCTCCCTTCCCCCACCTAAGGCGCTGAGGCTGAGTACGCTCACCTATTTCCATTCTGCAATCAAGCCGGCTTTAAGAGTGCTGCACACAAGCCTTAGGGCCAGAGTATTATCGCCTCCACGCTGTGATAAAACGACCAGCTCCACATCTCTCACATCCTGTCTGCTGCACTCATCCATTTAAATAAACCTGTGAAACCATTTTGGGAACCAACTCTAAGCAACCATCACACCTGTGAGCTGTGTATCCCTCCAGCCCTCAGCTGTGATGATTTTATGAGCTTCTTTAATGAGAAAATCTTGAATAATAGAGGCAAAATAAGAAGTAGATTGCCCCCACCAGGTTTGGATCCCTCAGTCAGTTCTGAAATTATGGAAACAGTTGTAAAACCTCATCTATACCCAGTTTTTCACCCATCAGCATTCATGAACTGAAGTCAACTGTTTCCTTGGCCAAAGATGAAAGATATTGTTCTATCTCATCAGCTTTTCTTTACTCAGCATGATCAATATGTCTTTAGTGACAGAATATGTTCACAGTCTTTTAAAGTAGCTGTTATCAAACCTCTTCATGAAAAAAAACACCCTAGATTAAGGTACTTGGGCTAACAGTAGGTCTACATCTACATATAAAGTCATCACTAATTGGTTACTTCATACTCATGTCACAGTTACCTGTGAATAGAAGAATTACAAGTTGCCCAGCTCACAGTGATGTAAATCAGGTTGTAACTTACTATTCAATCTTCCACTCATGGTCCAGCAAGGATAAATGTGTGAACATAAAAACTGTGAACTTGTTATTCTTTAAAATACTACTCTGGTAAAGGAAACAAGTTCAGTCCATGCAAAGAAAAGCAATATGTCCTTTTGCCCACTAGAGTGTGCTGCAAGCTCGAGTCATCAGAAAAAGGATCCAGTGTACATGGATCTATCTACTTCTGCATCTCTGCATCTATCCATCCATCCATCCATCCATCCATCCATCTAACTGGCTTCTATTTGAGCAGCATGAGAAGAGGCTGAGTGGTTGAAAACCAGCGCCTCTGAGTCTGAGGCCACGGCTCTCTGCCAGGAAACGGGGGATTGCTCTTTCCTGGAGGGAGGTTAGTCTTCCTCCCTATGAAGGAGTTCAAGGATTCTTGTTAATGAGTGAGGGTAAAACAGATCACGAGATTGACAGGCAGATTGCTGCTGCATCAGCCGTACTACTGTTGTTGAACTGCACCATTGTGGTGAAGAAAGATCCGGGCCTGAAGGCAAAGCTTTGGATATACCACTTGATCTACCTTCCAACCCTCACCTATGGTCACAAGCTATTGGCAGTGTCCAAAAGAATGAGGTAAAGGATACAAGGTGCCGAAATGGGTTTCCTTTGAAACGTGACTAGGTTCAGCCTTTGAGACTGGATTGTGATGGGATCAGGAACACCCAGAGGGAGGAAAGAGTAGAGCTTTAGGATCTTTTGCATCAAAACAAGTCAGCTGAGGGTGATTTGGACATAGGATAATGATATCTTCTGGATTTTCCCCTATGGACGTATTTCTCACATCTCTGGCTGGGAAGAAGCCCCAAGAAAACCCAGGGCTCACTGGAGGAATTACAGTATATATATCCTACCTGGCCTGGGAATGTCGTGGATCCCACCAGGAGAGTGGGAATATGTTGCTATTGAGGGGGCATCAATTCACTTAGATTGCTGCCTTTGTGTCCTGACTTTATTTAGGTATTAGAAAATGGATGGACGATATATTGGCTTTTAAAAGAGGCAACATGTCGTACATTAAAAACACTACAGTTGCACGTAAATCCAGTTTTATCAAATTTCTAGACATTTTAACATTTAAGAGTCACCAAAATCAGCTTTATTACTCATGCTGAGAAGATTTTGCACCTATTGTTAGCTTCACTTTGAATCTGAGGTCTTTTTTTCTGGAACTGCCAAATGTTGGTAGTAGTTCTTGCCATACCCAGCAGGAGGCAATGTGATCTTACATCGAAGCCAGGTGGACAGATGTTTCTGCTGTGTGGCCTGGTTTTCAGTTTCTGGCTGGCTGCCTCTCAGACACACCCAAAGCCGTGCTCACATAATGACAGACCTGCTGCCCTGCAGATCGTAAGAGGCCGGCAGCAGGCGGCTGGCTCGATTCAAAACTTGATGTTGTTCTCTGCACTGTGTATGTGGTCAGGCTGATTTCATGTTTCTGTTCAGGCAAATGGGCTGGGGAGGATCTACATGTTCTGTAATGACATGCTGGGATACTGCAACATTTTGGTAACCTTGGCAGTCATAAATTATGTCTTCAAATCCTTCTTTCATCGTGCCTCTACAGCTCTGTAGAAAGAATAGACCAGTCACATAAAAAATGTTGTACAAACATGCTATAAATTATGGAGGAAAGATCCAGGAGCACAATCTGAAGTTTTATGTCTGAGCTTATCCCATGACTGCATACCCCTCATAGAAATAATCAAAATAGATGAAGTGTAATCCATCAGGTCAGACATTTTTCCTTTTTAACATTTTTGATTTTCAGCTGGTCAGGATCGACCCAGGAAAGCACCGTGAGAGAAAAGGTCAGCTGTGAGCTTGGACTGTGTTCCCAAAACTAAAGCCAAAATCATCCTTTATGACTCTGACTCCACTGGTTACAGACTCAAGTCCAATCATTTATTGGTCAATCAGAATTATTTTCCTTCCGTTACGGTTAATAAACCCAGTTTGTGTTTTTCTAATACGTCAGTGTGACGGTTGCCAATCTCAAGTCTTCTTGAATTCTTGCTTTATTTTTGATAAATCGGGACAAGCTTCAGGAAAAAGCACAAGGACCAAACTCAAAACTTCCAGACAGTTCTTCACAAATAAATGTGTGTGACATTACCCTGACTCCACAGCTTTTTATAGACAGACCATATTTGTACCCTTTTACAGAGCCCACACTCTTCGGGAGCTTTCAGCGTTGGTTTAGAAATATATATATATTTTTTGCATTTCCAGGTATTTCATGGTCATTTTTAACTCAAATAGTGCTGGTTAGGTAGTCGATTTTGACTGGGGAAATGTTGAAATTTAACGATCATCAGATGGCCCAGTTGGCCTGTGGTGATTCATGTCAGTGCAGAAGTGATTGGTAACACATAGCAGGTGAAGATGGGGTAGGATCATACTCACTACAGGTGCAGGTAACAATGGTCGGAAATCCAGTGGTAATAGGACTGAGAAAATGGTCCTGAAACAGCAAATCACATTCTTATTTGGTAAGACGGAGTGCAAGCTGGATCATGATAGCTTTATCTGTTATGTTATGGGGTGACATGAGCTTTGCCACTCGACCAGTTATTTGTTTTATGATGAGACAGCATCCGTACAAGCAGAGCACTTCGGAAACAACCAAAAACTTAACAACAGAATCCATCATGGCCTCCAGCAGAGAGGTGGCAGTATCATTCCCTGCTTCTTTTCCCATTCTAGTTGGTTTGTGACCATGAATGGCATCCATAAAGTCAAACCGTTTCCAATTCTTCTTGACTTTTATGGTCGGTAAGTTTTCTGTAATCACCTCTTTGCTTTTTATGTTTTGTGCTGCACAGCTCAGTTGTCTGCATGACCCACTCTGCAGCCATCCTTTGTCCTTATAGTGATATCAAGTTCTCTCTGTACCTCCAAGATCATTTGTGAGGCAGGGCCAGACACTGACATTATCGACAAAAATATCAGCTTAGACAGAAAGAAAATCCACCCTGAAACTACTATCTCCAAATCCAGAGGACAGCCACACATGGTGTCTGCGCATTATTACTGATATTACATGGTAAGCGGTCATTTTGCTACCAATCAGTGAATTGCAGTGTGGTACTTCACTCTTCAGGGTTGTATAAATGCACTTGGTAACCCACCAGAAGAGTGTCACAACAGGAGATTGGTAATCTTTACCAGCATTTGGAGGGGAAGCAGAGTGCTTGGTAAGAAGCAGCATCAGGTTGGAGTGGATGAATACTTTGATCAGCAGTCAATGCATATATTTTGGATACCTATAAAAATGGTAAGCTATTCCTTCAAAATAGAA